CCATGTAGCAGACGGGACGTTAGCGAGATAGGAATGGTCTGTTTTCGTTTCGCTGTTGATGAACAAGAATATTGTTTTTCACTCTCATGATGACTACTATCTAATGATTCGGGCGATGACGAACTTGCTCGATCACTTTTCGATATCGGTTTATCGCGTGTTGGAAACAAGTAGTTACTCGATATCATTGATGAATAATTAGGTAAAAGATGTAGGAACTGATTAGATAGCTGTGACGGAACGGAGGGTTCTGAACGTTGAAGATTCGTTTCGGATAGAAGTGAAGCCTTGCTGGCTGATGAATAGAACGTGTTAGCAGATGAACTTTGACGTTTCATATTCTTGCGAATTTCATCGGGTGAACGCATAAAGCGATAGAGTAAACGTTTGGATTGCTCTTTGGAAATAATATTATTCGAATAGTAGTAACGCATCCCGCGTGATAGCTTTTCATAGGTCATTGACAAACGATTCTTTTGTAATCCTGAAATGAATGTTGCGTACACGATCGAAATGAAAGAAAGATAGATTTTACCCCAGAGTGCGGCCAGTTTATCAGCTTGATTGATTCGAAAGACCATTTTCTCACGATTTTCCCAGTGAATTATTGATTCGTAGAGTGGATCTTCGAGTAGAATGTAGAGAAATTCCCAGAGAATTCGACAATCTACATCAAATAGTCAATAGATATCTTGTTTCGATATACATCAGAATATCATACTTTTCGCTGCTTTTGGTTTCATTAGAATATCACCATGAAAATCAATGCGATCTTGATAATAACGTATCTGTCTCGCACTATCACTTCCGACGTGAATTTTTCTTTCATTTGCTTGAGATTTGACTAACAATGGTGGCGGCAGTAGTGGTGGTTTAGAAGCTGATTCATGCTGTTCGATATCGATATCTTCATCATCCATATATTCCTCTTTGATAGATGAGATCGGAAGACTCATGTCATGCTTCTCCAATGGTTTGGTCACTAGAGAACAAGTTTTCGATACGAAGATATCGTTTGATGAAATCGAACTAACCTGGTGACGACGAAGACGAACACTCTGATGTCTGTCGAGTTCGTGTCAGTTGTTGCGACGCAATCGATGCTGCTGTGTACTTCGCTTCGCATTGATTGTATAGATAATTCATTGCTGGATGTAGATATGGCATGTTCGGTGGTGGGACTGGTGGGAATGGAAGATTAAAATGACGCACTGATGAAGGTGGTAGAAAACCAAAACTGTTCCATAGTTGATAGGAAAGTGCTGAAAAAGACATCGATAGAAATGGAACTTTCTCTGAACAAAACTTTACTCTGACAATTGAATGATTTGATTAATGCATAGTGCTGTTGAAGCGCTTTATAGAGAATGTCTCCAGAACGTGCTGAACGCTGTTTGAAGCCATCTTCACTCAACAGAGATAATGCTTTACCTATAGAAAATCAAAGTCACAGTTTAAGAAAAGAACATCTTCCGTTGAACTGACCATTCATTTCGAAATCATTCAAGTTAATGTCACCCAGCGAATATTCTTCAATACAATATTCAATCCATTTTTGCACATCTTCTTTCGTCCAGAACTCGATCGATCGAACTAAAAGTCGAGGTTACTCTCTTGCGTTTCTCAAAGCACTTTCTTACGTAAATTTGCTGGTAAATTCATTTTCGTCGATGATATCAGATAATTATTGGTTGGAAATGGTATATTAGCAAATGTCGTATCCGTATTAGCAACCATACTAAAATTCAAACGAAAAATGAAACTGAAAGAAAAACAACAAAGGTAGATTCGTTCATGCGTCACAGTTACGGAAGACCATCGCCGAGCAATACTTTTTCTATATACGTATCTATCACTTAAATAATCATATTTTCCTCGAATAAGACATCCCTTATTTGCGTAGGAAGAAATACATTACTTTTCCCTTATGTATGATTCATTCGAGGGGTCGAATACTCAATATTTCCTGCATATTTACTTAACAGGAGCTGGAAAAAGAGTGTGAAGAGATAAAAATTTGGAGATAGAGTGGGTGCAGGTAGATAGGAAAGAGAAATCAGTAGTTTTCGATGTCATTAAATGATAATTTAGTAAATAAGAAAGAAGAAATCAAAATTGGGCTGGGTAGTATGCAGGAGATTGCATTGAATACAAATGGTCATATACGCTCTGTTATTTTTCAAAGAATACGAGTGCTTAGAAGTGACCTCCTTCCTTCGAAAATATTGTAGGTCAATAGAAGAGATCTATTCATTCTGATTTCATTGTCTACCTTGGAAGCTCAAGAACACAATTCTCTCACAACAGGAGACGTATTCTGTTCTGTTTTTGCATCGCTGCTCGCTCTCTTTTCCTCTCCCATTAGGTCGGTCGACGATGTGAAAAGAAAAAGGAATCATTTCAAGTTATTTTTTGAACATACATATACATATATATATGCACACGCTGGCCTTGTTCTGTTCTCTTTTTCCTCTCGATCATCATCATCACTATTCATCCTGTCTACCTGTCGAGACGACAAGAGGAAGGTCCAAAACATTCGTATATAATAAAACAAATTTTTTCGCTTTTCTCTCATTCATTCATTAGATTGAACACGATATCCGCACCAATACACTCTACACACACACACATATTTCGGTGACCTCAAGAAAAAAAAAAGAAAGAATGCAATAAACTCAACATCAAATAATTTGAATGAGAAAAAAAAGGAATTCTTTGTCGGTCTACTTCAACTCCGCCTTTTTTTTCTCACTTCCATTGTCATGCTCCATGAATACTTTTATTTTCTCGTTTCGACCCTATACAGTTACTTGTCGCGCAGCCTAATTAAAAGCTGAACATAAATCTATGTGCAGCCGACAGGTGTTTGTAAGTAATGATGATACTGATAAGACATACGACAAACAACAGTCGATTGATGACGTCTATTTACGCTAAGCTCCTATTCTACAGAGAAGTGCTAATGTAAAGCCTATGATCATATCAGCAATGTTCATTGTCGAAACGAGAGAAAAAGAAACTAGGTCACAACAACCTGTTACTTGTTCAATCATTAATAACTTATGATCATTGACCTAGATAGACTTCTTTTTCATTTCGTTCGCAACTAATAGCAAAGTGTATGTATACGAAGGAGAAATGAATGATGCATCCCAATCGTTTCTTTTCTTTTCTATGAAACTTTGATCAATGAACAATTCTTCTAGTCTATTTTCTACGCTTTGAATTCAATCTATATCGGTTTTGCTTCATTTGACTTCTACTCTAGTTCAATTCTCGAATGTTTCTGTCTAGTGAATAGAATAAAAACAAAACAAACGATTTCATATTACAAGTTCATTTTGTACGCAGATATACCCTTGACGGAAGAAAAGCAAAACGAGAAAAAGAAGAAAGAGTTACTTGTTAACTCATTCACGGAAGATAAGATAATAGCGGTGAGGTGAAAGTCGATATATATTGTTTACCATCTTAAGAGATAAATACATTGGTTGGCTCTTCTATTGTATATGATAAGACACGTAAAGCAAGAAATTCTATTCGAATATGTGTGTACATAGACACTGATAACTGTTCAAATGATGATAGTTAGTCATCAGAAATGTACGTTTTTTCGTTATTTACATCGACATTCGTTAATTTAACGCATGTATAGCTATGTTAATCGAGCTGAAGGTGAAATCAAATGAGACATTACGTACAGAAATGTGTATACGATTAGAACTAATAAAAAAATATGACATAAACATCTTTTTCCTTCGTTCATTTAGCAATGTCTCTTAACGTATTTGAATCATCGAAAGAAAAACCGAACTTTTTTCTCTTTCCATTCATCGGCAAGACGTTCGATTTATCTGTTTCGTGTTTCTTCCTTTTTCATACTCACTCATTAGATGTAAAAAGTGTGTTTTTCTTTCGAGGACATCGTCAAAGCACGTGAGAGGAAATAAAGAATACTGCATTTGTCATGCAACCCTACTCTCACTTGTTGATAATCACCATATTTTCTTTTTGCGTTTGAAACGAAAGATAAATATATGGACTCAATAAGCCTTTTGTCGTCTATTATAATCAACAGAAGGATTTGATGGGTAATCAACAAGCTTCGAAATCTCTCACCGATAGGGACGTGCAAATTTTGATTGAAACCAGTGGGAAAAGTGAAAGAGAAATTCATCAATGGTACAAAGAATTTCATGAAGATAGTCACGGAACTGATCGAATGAATAAACGACAATTCCAAACCTTTTACTTGAAACTACGCAACCGACCCCATTTGCAACAAATCACGGATCATATTTTCCGTGCATTCGATATCGATCAATCCGGTAGTTGATTTCGTTTTTGCCATTGAAAAATCTCCTCTCTGATTTTCCAGGTACGATTGACTTCAATGAATTCCTTATTGCCTATATTGCTACAAGCGAAGGTACACCACGTCAGAAATTTACCTATGCGTTCGAAGTCTACGATATGAATGATGACGAAATCATTGAGAAGAAAGAAATCAAGAAGGTTTTAAACATCATCTGTCGACTACTTGGCTTCTCAGAGCATGATGCTGCGAGTTATTCTCGATCGATGATGCTTTCCTTCGATACGAATCGTGACAAAGTCTTGACCAAAAGCGAGTTTGTCGAAGGATGTTTACACGATCCCACATTAGGCAAATTATCGAATCCATTCGATCTCTGATTCTGTGTTTATCGTAAATATGAAACTAAAAAGATCAATAGAAGACTTTCACAGCATCTAATTCGACAAAAAATCATTTTCTTTTCAAGTTTATACAATAACAAACGCTCAAAATAAACAAATACATCTCAAGCGTGGTTTTGTTTTTTGAAAAACATCAAATAGACAGTTACATATACATACATACACATTCGCGAAAGAAAAAAGACACCGATTGATTGATAGCATGTATGTATGGATGACGAGGACATCTTGACTAGTGATCAATACAGCTAAAGAGATCTTCGATGTTGTTATTTGCTTTACCAAGCTATATCAACATTACAGAAGATGTAATTATCCGCTTGTTGCATTATTGAATCGAACCGTTCGAATAACTAGAGAAAAAAAAAGAGCGAGATATCTTCAGAGTAAATAGGTCGCATTTTCGAATTACTTCTTGTAGCCATGTTGTGTCGCCACAAATAGCACTGATTAATTCAGTGGCGTCTGCTGTCGGGTTTAGTGTTTGCAGTTCAGCAACCTGTTTTTAGAAATACCAATCGAAGTGTGTCGTGCATAAAGACACAAAAGAATTACTTTTTGTTGAGCATGACAAAACATATGGTAAACATGATGCTTCAATTGATGCGCTGTTTGTGCTAACGCAGCGATATTTTCACAGACGAAGATTTCCTGGAATATATCAACGAATGAAAGTCATGTAAGCTATTCGTTGAATGACTTACCAATGTTTGTAATGGAGTGTCGCTCGCTTTCAAGGTATCAGCATCATATTGATTTCCATGAAAGCGTAGTGTATGTGAAACTGATTGAGATTTATCTTCGGTTACCTAAACGAGACGCCAAGTAGCGTTAGTATGTTTATTTCTTTGGAAAAAAATTTACTTGACAGTGTAATTGGCGTTGCGGTTGGGCGATGATATCCAGTAAGGGGTATTTCGCTACAGCATACTAGGAAGATCGAACAGAAATACTTGTATCCGTTTTGAGATATAAGAAATTCTCTACCGGAAACGTTTCGATCGTACGTCGAGACTGTATCACGTAGTTATAACGTTGTTCAAGCATTTCATCGATCAATCGAATATAAGTTGCATATTCATCTAAAAGTCTCTTCGTTTGCAAAGATTCCTACGATTGAAAATGAATGTTTACCAGTGTTAGCTTTTATTCTTGGTAACACGTCAGCATCGTACACATGATTAACTAGTACTTGCGCATAAACATCATGTTGAATACGTACTGCACTCATATGGCCATGAATTCTAAGATCGATAATATGTGATCTATTCGTAGACGAATGCTTGAAATACCCTACTTGAGTTTGATTGGATGGGAATCACTGGCTATACGAACGACTTCTTGGTTATTATGTAAACCTTTTAGTTCACATTTAAGTGGAACATAATCTTCCAGAACATTCGTATAGAACATTCCCTAAAAATAGATCGTATTGAATAGATCTAGATGCGTTGAGGGTTTACTTCATCTGTAGCTTCCCAAGCAATTTCCGAATCGGCAAGTACTGTGTCGTATTTTAGTAAAAGAGTTTTCGTATGAACTTTCCAGATGGGAAAATGAAGTAGATTAAGAAAATGTCCCTTATACAGTAGAAATTGACCGATTTCGAATGGAATTTCTGGACCCATTTCTGTCACTAAATTTAGAATGAGGTATTATTCGTATAGAAGAATTTACCTGACGTATTTCTTACCCTCTTCAGTGAATTGTTGTCCGCCTGCAGCTGCCGTTACTGTTTGATTTGGTGCTGCTACTGTATCAGTCGACATGTCTGATTGTTTACCATCTATCGATGTATCTTGTTGAATTCGTTCGTTCACTGCTTGTTGTTGGTGTTGCTGTAGTGCAGCATTGGCTAATTGTAATTGTTCATTTTTAAGATCGTATAGAGCAGCTGCTGCACGAGATGGACGATCAATATCCATCATATACGATGATGAACTAATCGAGTGAAATGAGAACTGAATAAGTTTACTTTCTGCAGAGATTGACTTACTTTGTAGTTGTGGGTTGATAGATGCTTTCGTTCGTCGTATTTAGATCTGAAAACATTCGAACAAAATATTTGAGAGAAAAGAAGGAGTATAACTGATTACTGGAACTAGTTGCACCGAAATTGGTTTTCGATATAGCTGCAGCTAGAAGTGTATCAGCCTTCTCCTAAATGATTGGTGATAATTTATAGAGAATGATGTACATTTAAATCATACTGTACCTTTTCACTCTGTATTCGACTAGGATCTGCTGTTGCTAATAAATCATTCGAAAGATAGGCTGCCGTGCTCTGGCTGGCTTGTTGTTGTTGTTGTTGTCCTTGCACCATTTCATTCAACTGACTAAGTATTGCCGCCGCTGATGCTGTAGCTGGCTCAATGCCTTCAGTGCCACTGGTCGGCTGTGTTACTGTCAATGCTCCAGCACCTAATTGATCAATCAAATGTTGTGGTAATGTAATCGTTGTCTAAAATAGATGTAAACAACGATGTGATATAGTGAGAAAAACTATGCTGTATTCTTACAGTAGTATTAAGAACATTTGATTGGGCATTGCGAAATAAACCGGATAATGCATTTAGATTCTGCTGTTGGGCGTTCGGTGTGAGGGTTATTGTCTGAGGTAGGAATGTAGTCGATTGATTGTTCGCTGTTGCGGGCAGATTTTTTAGTAGAGGATTTATTTTAACTCCTTTACTATCATCATACAGTGGTCGACCAATAACCATAATTTCTTCGATACGTGATTCATCGTTGACCATATATGTTTGATAACCCATGGTACCGGTTGGTTGACCCAATGAACTTAAGACAATACCAGCATTGACTGCACCGATATAAACATTATCTTTCGGTTTACGCATAACAGATTCATTGGCAAGAGTTTCGAGAGATGACATCTTTTCTCCGGCAAGGAATTTTAGAAAAGCATTCTGAAAGGAATTCTCTTTAGGATCGTAATGAATTTCAACTAGACGAGAAAGAATTAGTGGAAAATTGATAGAAATGCATCGTTCCTACTTGGTTTTCGTTTTGGTGGTGGAGCTGTTACACGTTGTACAGATTCTTCAACATTTTGTACATGAAAAGCATTCGCATTGACCTGTAATTTCAAAAATGCATCGAACATATCCACAAGTATGCACTCTTACTTTGCTTTGAAACGATTGTTTATGTTGTACGATCGATGGATTCATAGTAGCAGGTGCTATCGGTTTGAGTGTCGGTTTGGGTTGAATCGGCACTGGTGTTGACACAACTGGCGGTAGGTGAGTTGTTTGAATTGTAGGCATCGAAGCAATTTGTAAGATTTGATGTTGTAGACTAGTTGGTACCTGGGCGACTTGCTGCTCAGGATAGTGAGAAAAAAGAGAACCTATGCGTAAAATCCAGTATTATGAAATGTTTGATCTGTGTTTGTTGATCAGTTCAAATCAGTTAAGTAGTAGTAGTAGTAGTGTGTAATATGTTTTATTCATGAAATATGTCATCTATCCGTTCTTGTTTATAACATCATCATTTTTGAACTGATCGATGTTCAGAATAACTTACCATCTTGTAACAGTGCATTAATATCTTGATCTTTATCGATGATAACATCTACAATAACATGAATGAAAGTTTATTTTCAAAGTGCATCACCTCAGCAAGTCTATTCCCGTACATTGATCTTGTCCTTGATCATCTGTTATGATCAAAATCTGTTGGTTTTCTGTGATTTGATTTTGTAATTGATTGATTATTTCAGCTTGAGTGGTCGTATCTTGTATGATAACTACATCATTATTTCCAATAGTTGTTGTTGGTAAAACGTTGCCGGCTGTTTGCAATACAGCGCCTGATAATACCTGTGCAGCACCGACCGTTGTTAACGGAACGATGTTACTGAACATAGTGTATGAAAAACAAACGAAGCTATGGACGAAGAAATCTAGAACGAATCGTATTCTAGTATTATTTTCGTCACAATCGAAATGTTTGCTTTTTTTTCTATTTGACACAAAGAACGAATGAAATTTTTGATTTGAAGATACATTTGTTCAATGAAATGAAAACGCTCGTTGTCAACAGAGGACGCTAGAGCACAATTTACACACGTTGATCGTTTTTACATCTTGTACACGAAAAACAAAACAATAGCAATCCGTGACGAAAATATTTATTAATCTACGGTTAACCGTGTAGACCGTTTTCTTCTTTATATGTGCAATAAAAAACGCGAAGAAATAAAAATATATTTTGAAAAAGAAGAAAAAATTGTCTAAAATATAATCATTGCTGGATTAAATACTGAGAGAAAAGAGAAGTTGTCAGAGATGTGTTCATTTCTTCTTGGCATCTTTTGCAACATCTTCGACAAGTTTCTTCGCTTCTTCGCCTTTCTTCTTTAACAAGTCTTGCGCTTGCTTGATGGTTTGTTTATTGACATTGTTGTCTTTGAAGATGTTGGCCAATTCAGTTCCTGTCTCTTTGACGAGTTTCTTCACTTCGGGTTTCTTGTCTTTCGCTTTCTCGGCGACGTCCTTCAAATTCTTGTATTGCTCGGAGACTTTATCGCGAAGTTCGGCATTTTCCGAGACTAATTTGTTGAATGCATCACCGCCGACATCACCAGCAAGGTCTTGAATTTGTTTGACACGTTTTTGAAGGATGTCCACTGCTTTACCAGCTGTTTTAGGATCCAAACCACCTTCTTTGGATAGTTTTTCGAAATCATTGTATGTTTCTTCGAAAACTTTCTTGACTTCATCACCATGTTCTTTAGTAATTTCTTCGACTTGGTCGAAAATTCTACCGAGAAAAGGTGCCGAGCCAGGAATCAAAGTAGCACTCGCTGATCGTAAGTATTTCAATGTCTCAGTCGAGTCACCAGCCTTGTCTTTGACAGTTTCTTTCAATTTTTCTGCTTGTTTGACACCTTCTTGCGCAGTATTTACAAGTTGACGTGTACCACTAAATTGATACCATGCGAGACCTACAAATCGATAAAATCCAATCGATTACATCTTGCAACACAATGTTTACCTCCGAGAAGAGTGACAAGACCACCAGCAATTCCAGCTGTCAAGTTTGATCCCTGACTTGCTTGGTTAGCTTTGGCTTGTGAGGATTGCTGTGAAAGAAAGAAGTTATTCAGACTAGTTAATGAATATCAAGAAATATACCCAACGATAAGGAGCGATTGATCGAATACTAGGGTTGATACGAGTAGCTCGTACGATAGCATTGAATGCGAGACGATTCATCATTGTTGATTAAGACTAAGACTGATGTTCGAATACACGGACTGAAAAAGAAGATGAAGAATGGTAAATATTTGATTTCGAGCTTGCGAAGCCTCCGTTGCGAAAGAAAAATCACCGATTGGCGCGTGAATAGACCAATTCATAATTAAGCGTACTCGATCATCAATCGTTTGATCTGATTGCTATGAATATGAATATCTTTCGAAAAGCATTTGATGCTTAATTGAATCTTTCCTGATAATCACGACACGTTTACGTATGGATCAGTTAAATTTATTTTCGATAAAAGCAACTACATAAAAGTACAGTTTGAAGATGTGTCTGCCAGTTTTAAATATCATCCCATGTTAAGGGTAGCTTTTTATCCGTTGATCGACTCGCATTTGATGTATTTAAATCGTCCCATGTCAATGGGATGACGCCTTCGATTACCTTGATCGAGTCAGCTGCACTATTTTCAGTAATCAGTCGACAGAATTGAGATAATTTGACTGGATCAATTGAAATGCCGCTGAGTTCAATTGTTATACCGAAACTTGTCTTGTATTGACTTCGAAATAAGAACGACGTTTCGTGTTCGCAAACTAAATGTGCATAAACATATGCGTGTATGTTCATTTTGGTCAATGGCTCGTCAGTGATATACGTATTATTAAAACGAACAATAGCTGATGAATTCTGATGATTTCTACCCCAACTAGGACATTGATCAAGACATTTCGTTGCAATTTCTTTGGCCAGTTTGCCTGGCGACACTTCTGTGATATTCCGTTCACGAAACATCTTTTTGATCGCATCACGTAAATGACTACGAAGCGTAGACCATTCGCGATTATAGTCAAAACCGTGAGTATTAAACCATAGTTCACTATTATATGATGACTCTTTGTCCGATGCATATTTCGATGATGATTTCGCTCGAAGGCTCATACTTCGCTGTGCACCTTCGGACGTATGTAATTTTTTGGTGATTGAATCTGGTGCTTCTTTCGGTATTTCTTGCCATTCTATACGATAATGATGATTAGGACAAGAACATGTATGTTTTCAGAGATGATACACTTACCACATTCGGCTTTCTTTGATATGGACTTTGGTTCGAAATATTTCAACAATGTTCCAGGAATACGATTGAATACTTCGATCGTCTTCGCGTGAATCTCCTGTGGTATGAATGGAAGGATTTCATTGACCGTACTTGAAAACATGGACATGTCGATTGTTGATAGATGTTTTCGTAATGTCTGAAAGAACATACTTGATTCTAGTATTAAAAAAAATCAATTTAGTTCCACTTACGATCGACGTTGCGTACGTTTTAACGCTCGTATGACGATCAAAGGTAAAATTTATACATATACGTGCCACAAACAAATTGATGATATGCGGGTTTTTATTTTTCTCGACGAGAGATAATGACACGACTGACTTGTTTAGGAAATCAAAACACCCGTAATAAAGTTGTTTTTGGATACGGTCCATGCATCGTCACTTATTATGTCAAAACATACGATAGCCTTGAATTTTTCATGTTTTCCTGCCACACTATTCGTCCGTTATCAGCAGGAAGAGGGTAAAAGGCACAAAATCAGGTTGTTTTTGCAAACATATATATATACATACATAACTCTTACCTTTTACCTTCAGAGCAACATTCTGATAGAAAATATTATACAACTTCATCTTCAAGGACATATTTTTCAGGAAATACATAATATTATTTGCTTTAGAAAACAAAATCGATATCAACATGGCACTAGTTTTGTACACTGGCAACGAACTGGTTAGTTTATTTTCTCCTGAAGTTCGCGAGAAAGGAATGGAGATTTTTAACCGTATACCTGGTACCTTATTGAAATTCTTGGATGAGAAGAAGATCATTAAAAAAGTCTTGTTCAAAGATGACATATTGGCTATCGGAAAAATCATGGGTACTGAAAAACAGAAAGATTTGAATAACTTTAAAAAAAGTCTACGTGATTCGATCAAAGCACGTTTCCGACAATCGAATGTGACTGAAATTCAACCGGAGGATTTCAGTGAAGATATTACCGCGCATTACCGTGATCAATCAAGGTCATGGGCTAAACCAGGTGAAAAATTGTCAACAATCGTTCGATACACGAAAGAATATCAAGTGAAGAATCTTCAACAATGGACGAAAGTTCATGCGTATGTGTACATACATATCATCGAAGAATGTGAAAACAATTGGTTCGGAAACAATAATTATAAATTCGGATATGATTTATCAATTGAATTAACTGGAATCTCGATCGATACTGCCAAAGCATTAAAATTTAGTCAATTAGTTGCTCAAGGAACAGTCTTAGATTCGATTCGAGCAATAGAAGCACAGACAACGTTAACATGGAACGATTTGTAAAAATAAAGCGACATTTCATCAAGATTGCGATTTTATACATAGTCTTTTCTTTTTCCGGAACACAGCATTCCCGTATTAGTCTTTTCTTTCGGTTTTATTTCATTCGTATTGCTTTGTAGAATAAAACAAAAATATCACTATTGAATATGATTATTAACACGTAATGTATCAGTGAAATGAGTTTCCAAGAAAGTCGTAATTGAATCAAACTGTTACATATGTAGGTAATTTCGAAGGCGTATCTATCTGTCGATACGCATCGCGATATAGGTATGAAAGAAGGTATGAGTGAAGAATATGACGTAATATCCTTTCATATATATTCTGACCTCATTGTCGAACCTTTGAACTCGAACAGGCGTGTGAGATGGTGGTAAGTGTGTAGCAAAGATGTTCACGGAGATGGATTTCATACTTTGTTTTCGTACGTTCTTCTTTTTTTTTTATTACTTTTCGTATCTTGAAAGCAACAAACAACAAAACAAAAGGCTTTTACATTGAATTTGTTGTTGTAGTCGGTTGATGTTTATGAACGTGGTCGTTCTTTCTTTTCTCGGTACAATGCCCATAATGAGACATTAGCAACTTTAACAACTTTGAAACGGACACCCGGAATATCACCGACGGCGTGACCTTTACGACCGAAACCAGCAATTAGAACTTCATCGTTTTCCTAGAAGAATTTCAATGAGATTTGCCCGTGAACGTTTTNTTTTACATTGAATTTGTTGTTGTAGTCGGTTGATGTTTATGAACGTGGTCGTTCTTTCTTTTCTCGGTACAATGCCCATAATGAGACATTAGCAACTTTAACAACTTTGAAACGGACACCCGGAATATCACCGACGGCGTGACCTTTACGACCAAAACCAGCAATTAGAACTTCATCGTTTTCCTAGAAGAATTTCAACAATGAGATTTGCTCGTGAACGTTTTGCACAAGTTTACTTCGATATAATTGAGACAACCATCACGTGGGACGAAAGCGGTGATCTTCTTGCCGTTTTTGATCAATTGAACTCGAACACACTTACGAATAGCGGAGTTGGGCTGTTTGGCTTCGACACCGCTGAAGAAAAAGCATTTCGATCATGTACATATTTTCTCATTGGAAAAAGTTCAATAACATACACTTTTTCGAGAACAATGCCTTTGGCATGTGAAGCACCAGCGAATGGATTGCTTTTCCATCGTGTACCCAAGTGAGATTTCTTGTAGTCTTTATCATGCCATCGTTGTTCACGGCGATGATCTTTGAGTTTACGCGCTGTACGAAGACCACGAGGTTTACCTAACGAAACCGAACACGTCCATCATCATCTTTTCTCAACACAATGCAAATCTTACCCATTGATTAGAGATGACGTCAAGAACCTAGTTGTTATCTAGAAAGACAGATCGGTTAGTTAAAATACTGAACTATTTTACTAAAAGAAAATTTCGTAAATAAAAACTTTTTTTCTACTTCTCTTGTTTATTTATAAAAACGAAGCAATCAAAATGTTCGATTGTACTCGACTTGGAGGTCCGTATAGATGTCGCCTGAATCATATTTATCCCGATAGTTGCATTTGATTAGTCGAAGATTTCTATCAAAAGATTATCCATTCGAACAAAAATTCAATTCTTTCAACCGTCGAATATTGACTTTCAGTTTTGTTTTTTTTCTTTTTGCTAATACTAACAAACTTGACTTTGTCAGGGCTTCTTATCAGTAGTCTATACCAGACACTTTTATATATAATAAATTTTTGCCTTTTTTCTCTTTCTTTCGTTCTTCTGTTTTCTTTTTCTCAAGTAACCCCGAATATGTAAACACGCTGCTCAGAGTGCGAACATTTCGATGTTTTAGATGGAGATGAGTTTTGTGATATAATGTAAATAAACTTTATTTCGTCTGGCACATAACATGGTACCAATTAATCAGACGTCATTGTCATCATCATCATTGTCGCGAACATTAATACCAATTAATGTCGAAACATTAGCTGGAACGTCATTTGAGTTATTCGTTTCACCTTACGAACAAATTCAATCAATCAAACAGAAAATCGAACGACGAGAATGCATACCAAGTTCGCATCAACATTTAGTTTTCAAATCGAATGAACTTGAAGATGAACTATGTTTGAACGATTACAATATCGAAGCTGGTACGACCATCAAACTTGTCTTAGCCATGCGCGGTGGACCTGTTAATACAAAACGTGTCCCGATCGAAGATAATCTCATCCGAGATATGTCTGAATTCATTGAAAATAGTCGAGATGATTGTGATTTAATCCCATCATCGTCATCATCGAACAAAAACGTTACATTTCTTGTCTTACGTGATGGTGATCAGTTCAATTTTTTTCAAGTTATCGATCGAGGTGATGGAACACTCTCGCCTCTATCAACTTCGATGNGTGGACCTGTTAATACAAAACGTGTCCCGATCGAAGATAATCTCATCCGAGATATGTCTGAATTCATTGAAAATAGTCGAGATGATTGTGATTTAATCCCATCATCGTCATCATCGAACAAAAACGTTACATTTCTTGTCTTACGTGATGGTGATCAGTTCAATTTTTTTCAAGTTATCGATCGAGGTGATGGAACACTCTCGCCTCTATCAACTTCGATGAGGTAACTTTTGCATATAAGTAGTAAAGAAGTTTTCCTAATGACAGAGATGAATGTTTCAGTGCAGCACCTATGTACAATACTCATGAGGCGTTGACGATGGGATCCGAATCCGAATACAATCAAAAGCGGCAGGACGATGACCGGAAAACAAAACAGAAAATGGACCTAATTCGATCAAAACTAAAAACGCACGCACGAAAAGTAAGATTCTTCCTCCAAATTTTATCGCTAATCGATTTGAGAGCGGAATTGTCAGAGGAAAAGTATTTATGAATATTATTCATTGATAATCTCTAGAGAATTCGCTTCAAAAGCAGACACTAGGTGGTTATAGACTCAGACGACTTTCTTCATGACCTTTCGTTTTTATGATTTCCCACTTATAAGTATATGTTTATATACATCTATTTCAAGGATATTCTTCTTCCACCTCGACCACCTTCTACCTCCAAGTCAACGAAGTCAAATCTAATACAGTATCATCATCGTCGAACGATTCCAATAGAAGCTACATCAACTGTCACACCAGCATTGAAGCAAACACAGATTCGCTCGTTGTCTTATTCATTTTCTACGAATATTTTTAATCCGTATAATTTATTATCAACAGCAAACATCAATCGAACGAATTTGTTGCACGAGGAGGACAGCGAAGATGACGATGATAGTCAAGATGAAGACGACGACGACGACGATGATGACGATGATGATGATCATGCCAATGATCGGAAATTAACAGCAAGACAGATCTTCGCCGCAAGATCATTTTCACCACCGCTTTACTACCAGAAAAAACACCACCATCACCACCACCACCACCATCATCATCACCATCACCATACAACGAAAAAACTGTTCAATCAGGAGACAGCAACGACAACGACAACCACGACCGATGATACAGCTGGTAGTAATACTGCTCTGGTGGATTACGTTCATCGTATGTCACCCACGATACCAATTGTATCTACGTCATCACCGAAGTATTTCAACAATTCCGATGAACCGATTAGCTCCGACGAGAAAAATGATTCAACAAATGAAATTCTCTATCAGCACTCACATACGTCTCCGACGCTCGAATTAATCGATGACGAAACGATCTCTTCAACAAACATAACACGAAAACCGACAGCTGATCTTCACAGTCGAAATGAAACATCACTGAGTAAGCCAACGTGGACAGATGATGATGAACAGATCAATGTTTTCGATGAGTACATACCTGGTGAACGAACATCAACAAGTCAGTCGATGACACTCTCGCAGCAAAATAACCCAACCGAAACGACAACAGTGTCGACATTACCACAGCTAGTGAAAAAATCGACCTTTCCCTCTACAACTCAACAATTCTATCATCGTCATAAACCGTCAAATTTCGACCAGACTCAATCGAATAAATCAGTACCACAACCGTTAGTACCTTTGAAATTAGCGAAATATCGACGGATATCATCGAATGTACATCTGTCAACACCGTTACAGCCTCAGACATTGATCGGTGCTACTACGACGAATTCTTCCAATGAACTCATCAATAGTAATAATAGTACAGATCCTTTCAATGAACATTTGATGCTTAACAAGCGATTCGAAATATTGAAAACACCTGGCAAACAACAATCAACGACTCCGCTTACTGCTTCTTCATTGTCGAATGCAACTTGTCCACTTGCACCGCCACCGCCTCCTCCTTCCAAACGACATTTTGCTCAACAAAATATCAAACCTGTCGCTACGAACACAACGTCGTCTTCATCTCTCATACCCATCGATAGTACCAAAGTCACAATCGGTAAGTGCACTGGCTTCGGGAGATAAGCTCTTTATCGTCTCGATTTAGAAACAATTGGTTCCAAAACTGTCTCTGCTCTTCTTCGTCAAAATGCTACTATCGAACCTGTTGATACTTCCCGAGGTGTTGGCAAACATCTCGTATCATTGCTTACAACTGCATCGAAAGAAACAAGTTCAACAAAATCTAGTAAATCATTTCTTAATCTTTAGTTTCGACCGTGAATAATTCTTTCATTTCCTAACAGGTTATAAACAACCGTCACGTGACGCAATCGTCGACGAACGCTTCAAAGTAATTCTTTTCGAACAAACGGGATAATTCTCATTCGTTCGCTTTCATTAGTTGGATTCGAAGTTAACCACTTCTCTTTCATCGAATGTCACCGCCACGACTAGTAACAGCAGTACATGTAATCCAAATCGGTTACCTCCTGTCATCATCAATCGTAAATCGACATCGAAATGCTTTCTCTGCAAGAAGAAAACCGGATTGGCGACAACATACCAATGCCGGTAGGAAATCGATCGTTCTCCATCACAATAATCTGTCAATTGATTCGTTCGATTTTAGATGCGGAAGTTCATTTTGCAGCGAACATCGATATCCGGAAGCTCATGCTTGTGCATTCGACTATAAAGCGGAAGGCAAACGTTTGATTGAACGAAATAATCCATTGGTTACCGTTCCGAAGCTACCGAAGATCTAATTGCGTTTATTTTCGTTCTGTTTGTCCTGATTTACTGATACATCATACACTTATCCCTCCGTTTCCTTTTGCATATCTGTGCAACATGAATTTGTTTTCGTTTTTCGATAATTAACCGTTTATGTGTGCGTGTGCGTCTACCCTTTTCTTTCTTTCCATTAAGCTTGAGCTTGTGCTTCATTTTGCTTCTTTTGTATCTATATTGAATTGAAACATATACATATTCTTTTGCATAAGCAAAGAATCGTGCGAATGACTCGCGAGAACAGTAGACAACAATAACAAAACCCCTAAGCCTCCTCGTGCTGAACAGTCTCGCTCGAGGATGAGACATACTTGAAAGATATTTTCGTATAAAAACTTCTGTAAGATCATCTTCTTTCTCGAAAACAAAAATGCATTTATGGTTCTGTTTTCCTTTTGCTTCCTTCCGGTTTCTATTTCTAGCAACGCGTTCTTCGTCTCTCTCTCTCTCTTGTTTATGTTTTCTTCATCTTCTCTTCTGCTTGCTAGTGATATTGACCGAACCAAATATTCACTCATTTATATTATATGCGAGCAAAATATATTCTGTATAATATTCACGTAGATGTGTCTACGACTGAACGCCGACAATTGACGATGATGATAATGATGGTGGTGAAAAACAAAATATTGAATAAAGAACTTGTGTTTGCTTTTTTTTTTATAATGAACTCATCAATCGGAGTGCTTTTTCACCTCTAGATTGCCTCACGTCTCCTTCTAGATTGCGATGATGGTCTAAGAACTGTGCAAAGTCTTCGATCGAGAGGTAGTTCGATGTTGTAATCCAAGGTCTATTGTTGATTAGGATATGAAACTTTCATAGAGATTCTCAGGAGAAATCAAAGGCACTGATGCATGTCCTTCGTTTTGTTGTTGTCTTGTGATTATATAAAAAGAAAACGTCTAATATGTGTTGAACGTATATCATTAGATGAACACAGGTCGCTAGAAAAACAAATGCCGTAAGTATTCAACTACTTAATCCTCTTTATATGGCTTTTGTAAATGTCACGACGGTACGAAAATTAGATTGTGTTTCATCCCGTTGATTAATCATTTTTGTCGTCCATATGTAATTTTATTGAGAAGCAAAATTTTATTTTCAAGCAAATCAATCTTGACACGGCGGATGTGAACGAAACGAGTGTTGTAGGCGCATGCAGTTGATGTCTTTCATTGTGTCGACACTCGGATATTTGTTTCTATCGAATAGACGAACGTGTTAATTTCATTTACTTAGTTCATCAAAAACTGTGATCAATATGAGCAAAAGTCAAGAAAAGAACTTTTGAACTCTGCCCGTTTGTCATCATTCAGCAACTAAATTTCCTTATTCGTCATTATTTATTGATTGCATAAAGTGACGAAGCGATTTTTCTGTTTAATGTATAAGTTATTTCGTCATATCAGATGAAATTGTTTCCACAAAAGTGAACAGAACACGTTTAGTCTGCTTGAAATTAATCAGATTTTGTTCTGCACGAGAGTCTTTTCTACGCTAATAAATTGAAGGCAAATTGACGTGAGAAGAATGAAAAAGAAAACTAAGGAGGTTAAAAAAGAAAATGTCGCCCGGAAATGAAAATGCAGTAAACGACTTGTTATAATAAAAAAAAGTGTTATTTATTTTGCATTCGAGCTTTTCTATCATCTATCAATTATTACAATTCAAGACAAGCATCTAGTCAGCAATTAGAAAGAAAAGTTTTATTCATCATGAAAATAGAATAATGGAATTCGATATCAGTACTTGTAATGATTGGTCGTCTCTCGTCATTTTCAAGTTGTCCTCTTCAATAGCATCGAGTCCTGACGACTTCTTATTAATTAGATATATGTTATATTTATGATCTATGTCGGTGGGCCTCGTCTTCGAAAACAATTGCAGTTTTTTTGCTTTCAGAGACCGGCTGTTCTGCAAAGAATTGATGCTTATTAAAAGAAAGCAACGTTACATTGATTTTCTCTCTCTTTCTTTTTTCTTTCTGTTTCCTTCGTCTTCCTCTTCTCTCGGATATGTTGCCTTGTTTCTCATCTTTGGAACGTTTTTTTCTCTTTTTCTAGGCATGTTCATGAATAGTGACACAAGTTTTTCCTCTTTTCTTCTACCAGAACTTTTTTTTATCCTTTCTCACCAAAACAACAACAACATGAAGATCAGTCAGACCAGCGTAATCTAGTGGCGTTTTTTTCTCTCTATTAATGAAATTCGATTGATTCTCGTGGGTCGACAGGAGATTAGATGAAAAAGACATTTACGCATTTTAATCGTCAAGCCGATTTTCTAGATAAAATGTCAGCTGCAGCCATGCAACTTGTAGCGACGAAATGTCCTACTGATGAACTGTCGTTTACGAATTGTGCAATTGTCAATGAGAAGGATGTTGACCCGCGACGTATCCGGTAAGTTTCTCAGCACTTTTGAAAAGAAAAGATCGTTGTTACTCGAGTGTAATAGACATATTGAATTATCATCGAACGTAGCAAATGGAAAATTCGTGTTTACAGTCGTGCCGTTTGGTGCGATGCCCCAAGGCAGAATTGGTTTCAATACTTTACAAGTAGGATATTTTAATCGTGCTTGATCTGATGTGGCACAGTTGGGTTTCGAATTTTAGCGACGATGGGCGGGAATTGAACTTGATCGAGCGTATCAAATTCGTCCGTATACATTCGATAAGAACGTTCAGTCGATTGCTACACTTATTCTCGAAGTGGATTTCTTGAACAAGAAGAAGTAGGATAGATGATAAATGTCTCTTTGTCGATCTGTAGCGTTCGTTACTTTAGTACAACAACAGATCCATACGATACCGATAAAATGGCTGTTGAATTTTTGCAACAGTATATTGATCATGCATTTTCTGTTGGTCAATGTGTATGTAATTCAAGAATGATATATGAAAGAGCTTACAGAAGAAACGAATCTTTGTTTTAGCTACCATTTCAATTCATGGATAAGAAAACTTTGACGATCGCTGTTAAAGATATCGAAGGTAAGACTGATTTTTGGTGCTTAAAGATTAGACGAACGAGATTTTTTTTTCTGTCTGTGAAACAGCTGTCGATTTATCTGCGGTTGCTCGTGGACAGAATACCAAAGCTCGAAAAATTCCACTCGGTGTTACATTAGCGAATTCGATGGTTGTTTTTGAACGAGCCGAAGGTTCATCTATCAATCTCGCTGGAAAATCCAAAGGGTAAGGCTGCATTTAGCTAGGCGAATGTTTGTTCTATTTGGCACATGAATAGAAAATCTCAATTTGTTTCAATCATCAATCCTGATTTTGATTTCAAAACTATGGGAATCGGCGGTCTTGATGCAGAATTCAATGCTATTTTTCGTCGTGCATTTGCATCGCGAGTCTTTCCACCGGAAGTTGTATATCAACTCGGTAATTGTTTAGCAAGGAGTATAATAATTCCTATGATGCGTGTTGTATGTTGTTAGGTATGAAACATTGCCGTGGAATTTTATTGTATGGGCCACCAGGAACGGGAAAAACTTTGATGGCTCGGTATGCTCTAATTTTGGATAAGTTCAAAATGTAGAACGCTCTTTGTAGACAAATTGGCAAGATGTTGAATGCGCGGGAGCCGAAGATTGTCAATGGTCCACAAATTCTGGATAAATATGTTGGAGAGTCCGAAGCAAATATACGCAAATTATTTGCCGAAGCGGATGACGAAGAAAAAAGAGTAAGTAAAACGAATATGAGGCACGTTTTATTCATTCTATCATGATAATACTTCTTCAGCTTGGACCTAATAGTGGTTTACATATCATCATTTTCGATGAAATCGATGCAATTTGCAAAGCTCGTGGTTCGGTGGTAAATAAAAAGCAGAATTTATTATTTAGTTTCTAAATTCAGATGATTTTGTTTGATCTAGGGCAGTAGCGCTGGTGTTCACGATACAGTTGTTAATCAGTTACTATCGAAAATCGATGGTGTTGATCAATTGAACAATATTCTCATTATTGGAATGACGAATCGTCGTGATATGATCGATGAGGCCCTTCTACGACCTGGTCGACTTGAAGTACAAATCGAAATCGGTCTACCCGATGAAAATGGTCGATTGCAGATCTTGAATATTCATACGAATCGTTTACGTGAACACAATAAATTGAGTTCGGACGTTGATTTGAAGGAATTCGCTGAATTGACGAGAAACTTCAGCGGAGCAGAATTAGAAGGCTTAGTTCGAGCAGCAATGTCGTTCGCGATGAATAGACATATTAAAGTAAGAATCTTTTACGTCAAGTTTTGAAAGTAAGCTTTTCGAGTTTTCGTAGGCTGGGAAAAAGGTGGAAATCGATCCGGACGCAGCAGATAAATTAAGAGTGTGTCGAGCTGATTTTATGCACGCTTTTGAAAATGATGTTAAACCGGTAGGAAAATTGATTTGAATTCGAGATAAGATCTCTAATTATCATTCTCAAGGCATTTGGTGTCAGTAAAGAAGAATTCGATTCGTACATATCCAATGGTATTATCGTATGGGGACAACCAGTCACTGATGTTCTTGATGAAGGTCAATTACGTATTCGACAAACAGTTAAAAGTGAATTGACACCACTTGTTACGATATTAATCGAAGGTATGATGGATAAAACTGATGTACAATTTTCATTTTTATTCTGTTTTGCCTAGGCCCACCTAATAGTGGCAAAACTGCCTTGGCTGCTCATATTGCTCTTCTATCGAAATTTCCATATTTGAAGTTTTGTACTGCCCAAACAATGCTTGGTTTTTCAGAATTAGCCAAATGTCAACAACTAACAAAGATCTTTCAAGATGCACATAAATCTAGTCTATCATGTATGAGCAAATATCTTCGTTTTACGCTAATATTTCATTCTGTTTTCATAGGCGTGGTTGTCGATGAATTGGAAACTTTACTTGAATATGCTCCTGTTGGTCCACGTTATTCGAATAATGTTTTACAAACAATGAAACTATTGTTCAAACGTCCGCCACCAAAAGGTCGAAAATTACTAGTCATTGCGACAACAACTTATCGTGATATTCTTGATCAACTCGGTTTATTAGCTTCGTTTTCTAAACAGATACACATTTCAAATATGAGCACAGGTCAACATATTCTTCATGTCCTAAACGAGATCGAACATTGTTTCAGTGACGAAGAAATGAGATATCTTGAAAAGAAGTTACACAACAAAAAGTACGACCCCGATTTCAAAGGCAATCTCAGATAAATCTGATTTTTCTTGTAGGTTGTTCATTGGAATCAAATCATTACTTGATTTAATCGAAGTTGCACGGCAAGCAGATGACAGCTCACGTGTTGCTCGTTTTCTTGGCCAGTTAGAAGACGTTGCTGGCATGGTTTAAACAGAATTCATTCTCTCACTCTGTTCCGTTCTTCTTTCTCTTATCTGTTACCTTTATCAGTGTCGTTTGTTTGTGCAATAAAAAAGACGCAAGTCTTCATTCTCTGCTTCTTCTCTTTAGTTACTAATGATGTGTTATTAGTTGGTCATAGAATTTTATCGTTCGCTTTCTTTTCTTTCTAGTCAATTTGCTCCATGTTTTGTATATGAAAATGAGCAAATGACAATTTCCATTCGTACGATTTCTTTTTGTAAAACTTCATTCCGCATTGTCATTACCAGTGTTCTCATTTATGCAATTGATTCCATGTCTATTTTCCGTAGTGTATTTGTATGCAGTTTTGCCTGTGTAGATAGACGACCCTTTTTTTTCTACCCTATTGTGTTCTTTCTCTTTTAGATCAATGGAAAAATTTGAGATTACACTGATAATAGTAACTGTGTTCTGGGGCCTTATTGGAATTGTTCTACCCTTTCTGATTCCTAAGGGACCACATAAACGGTAAGAAATTTCTTAACGAATTCTTTCTCAATAATCTAACTCTTCATTCTAGACTTGTGCAAATCATGTTGGCATTAACATCAGCATGTTGTTGGATGTTGTAAGTGAAATATCGCTGTGATAACTAATTGACTTGATTTTGTTGTCATTGTAGTTGGTTATGTTTTTATCTTCATCAGTGGAAACCACTCTTCGGACCGCAAATGGAAAGTACTCATGCACGTATGCTACGCACTATTTGGGGACAAGAATTATAAAGTGAATTTATCAATCCGACCGTCTATTTCTTCTACATTTGTATTTATTTTTTATCTGCCGAATAAATACATGTTTTTCTATTCTTCTTATATAACGAATAATCTGATTGCCCTTCGCCCTCTTCTACGATTACTATTTTATTTATTCGTTCTCTCGCCATCTGGATATGCATAGACGATGGATGAAGAACATGTTTTTTTTCTCTTGTACTCGTTCGTTGTCTCGTTAGCAAAAACGAACTGTTTATTTTTCTTCATGTCTGGTAAAATTTAAGATATGAATACTAATTTTAGCGGACCGAAGCTTTTTACATTTGTTCTTTCTCGAGAACATGGTTTGGCTGCTGGAGTAGCTATATCATCATGGTTCGCCTTGCAATACATGGGCATGGGTGTAATGAAAGCACGAAAACAGTAAGCCGTGCGGATTAAAGAGGCTGAGTAGTTAGTCATGTTGCTTTTTTCATTCAGATACAATGTCGAATATCCAAAACTCTACGCCAGTGAGTCAGATCCGAATGGAAAGAAGTTCAATTGTACGTATATTGTTGTGTAGATGATCAATATTCGATTCTGCTTTCGTAGGTGTGCAACGCGGCCATCAAAATACCTTAGAAGTCTATCCTGAGTTTCTTCTCATGTTAGGCCTAGGTTCAATTCGATATCCACTTATATCGTCAATCGGTGGAGCCATTTGGTTACTTGGACGAATAGTCTTTTTTCAAGTATGGTCAATATTTGCTTTGTTGTCTGCTTTTTAAATGTCGCTTTGTTCCAGGGTTATTCAACTGGTCAACCTGAGAAACGTCGTTATGGTTCATTTGGTTATTTAGGATTATTTACAATGATGGGGTGCGCTGTTAAAACAATTTATGATTTAGTTCGAACATAAATAGACATATATGTGCAGGATTAAGAAAATCAAGCTCAGTCAAAACTAAAGAACATATCATGTCGTTTGAATCGACATATATCAAAATTTCGTATATTGGATTGAATGGGGTGTATGGATCTTTTTTTCTCTTTTTAGAATAAAATCGTTGAACAAGATCAAATGAATACAATCTTGTTGATCTATTTGAAAGCGATGGATATGATACTACGAACGAGATAAATTTGTGAAATGCCGTTTATTGGAAAATGAGAGAACAGATAGAAGTGAAAGAAACAAATGTCAAAGAGTTTCCTCTTCAGCTGAAAGTCAAGGAACTGGAACATATGAAATATCTCCTACTTTTTTCTGTAATTTTCGACGAAGCTACTTTATTTATCAAACAGATCGATCTAAGAACTACCGGTACACTTCTTTTCTTACTTCTCCAATCTGGCTAACAACACTGATCCGAAAATCAAAGCAATCATTGACGAAGCTCGTCTTGCACTTGCGTCACTCTCACCCCTATTTAAGTGTTGTTCATAACTATTCACCGAGTGTGGTAGTGCTTTCTGTCATGTACAATCATTTGACATCGAATAGTTGGATGAGTGAACAAGTGAAGAAGATTGTTGTCGGAAAGAAAGATGGTGATCAGTATGTCGTAAGTGATTTTGGATGTGTATAGATATATTATTTTTTTGAATGAATACAATAAAATGATCTTGTAGATGAGAGAATAAGTCGCTCAATAGATGTCATCATGACACACATGATTGCAATTATTGTTTGTTTAGTATGTATGCAGAACTAAGATTGAATTGGTTTACATATAATGGAAATATTATTCATACGACTACTAAGTCATTAATAAGACTATAAGTTGCGTGTCTTACTCATTCGAGTGCATCGATTCAGATGAGTAAAAATTAAACGAAAGAAGAAAAATTGACGCTGCATGGCATTGAATAGGTTGGTAGACATTATTCATTACGTTTTTGTATTGACACAGCATTAAACGAAGGAAGCGACACTCATCATTCTTTTACAATCTCAAAATAATAATAAGTTCTCTCAGTGAATAGAACGAAAAGGAAAAACGTAATTCCCAGTTAGATGTAAGAAAGAAAAGGTGGACTATAAAAGTTTTATTAATGTACTTCAACGCACGCGACTTTTTGATTAAAGTATAGAAAGAAAAAAGTCGGAAGAGTAATTTCTTCTTCTGTTCTACACAATAAGGTATACAACGGTTTATTCCAACTTTGTCTCTATATAAGCTTGGACGACTGTAACAGTTGTAGCTTCTGAAGTAAGATATTCAATACCAGTATACAATTAATACTATGAATAGGTCCGTACCATATTATAAGAATCAACAGAGGAATAGTTCCTCTTATACTTATCCGCAGCTGAACCATCACCAACATTATGTATCTGATGACGAACGTCTGGCCGGTTTCGAGAAGTTTATTCGTCGTTACGAAAGTTAGTTTCATCTTTACGAAAATATGCCTTGAAATAATGTATAACTAAATGAATTCTAGTTAATGCTACTTTTGCTTCGAAATTACGTGGTTTAGATGGATATGAAATTGTTGTAATTTGTGATGACTCCGGATCAATGAATACTGAACTCAGTGTGTATTCTGAGTCGTTTCATTTTAAGATAATGACTGAATTTGCTATCATTTTAGGTGATGTCTCTGGCCCCTACGGTCAAGCTCCAACACGCTGTAAGGATTCGATAAATTATTCAATGCAATGAGTCATGTTTCCATTTCACAAACAGGGGATGAATTGAAACACACTGTATCGATTGTCGTCGATCTTGCTAGTGTACTTGATCCTGATGGTGTTGACATTTATTTTCTTAATCGTGCACCCATATTCAACGTTCGTAGTTCACAAGAACTGATTCCGTCATTTTCTATTCCACCTGAAGGTATGACTGCGTCATGTGAAATTTCGAAGTAACTTTTTGCGAGAAAATGTTCAGGTCCAACGCCGATTGTCTCAGTTCTACGACAAGTCCTTCGCGACAAGGAAAAACAGATTGCTGAAAGAAAGTTGTTAGTTCTTCTCGCAACTGACGGAGTTCCGACAGACAAGCAGGGTCATGCAAATATTGATGAACTAAGACGAGTTCTCAAATACGAACGCTCTTCAACCGAACGAATTCCAGTGACAATTATTGCTTGCACAGGTAAATATTTTATCTCACGGTAGCAATACGCAAGTATCACATTGATGGAATCGTCGTTTTTTTTGCGCAATAGATGATGATGAATGTATGTCATACTTGAACGACTGGGATGTAACTATTCCAAATCTGGATGTAGTCGATGATTATAAGAGTGAAAAGAAGCAGATTTTAGCTTGCCAGAAGCAATCTTTTCCATTTAGTTTCGGCGACGTAAGTGACTGTAAATGAAACATATCCAATCATATTGTATTATTTAAGTATGTGGTAAAGATTATGATGGGTGGTGTGGATGAATGGTTCGATCAATTGGATGAGAAGAGGGTGTCATTGGATAATTATGGACGGTACGGACTCAATACACCAACGCAAGGGAGAGGCTCAAGTCAATACGCATCAACGAGTGAGTATTAATCTCAGATGTTGGTAATCTCAATCTTTTGTTTGTTTCAATAGAGTCACCCTATACGTCACAACCAGTAACATCAAAACAGAACCCTAATTTCTATTGATCTGCCTATTTTTTGTACATTTCTGAAATTCATATCATTCAATGTTTAAAGTAAACCTATCCCTATCGCAAGTGCTCTTCATCTTCAAAGGGTTACTTCGTTTACATTCATACCGACACGGCATCATGACATCATCTAACTTCTATATGACTGTTGTTGGAAAGTGTTAATTCTTTCAAGTACAGTCGCTTCCTATTTTCTTCTCAATTATTGATCTAATATATTACAGTCATAATACCATATCTAACCAGTTCCTGAAGCTTTGAAATCGAACCCATCCGTCGATTTACTCGACTAAATATCGTAGAATAGACAATTCAGGGTGCACATATGATCCTTGTTTATTCACGCTTATGAGACTATAAACAAATTGATTTGTAAAGGATTGGCAATGTTGTTCATGCAGCAAGTGGATCATCAACACAACAGCTATCAATAAACACCATGTTGTCATCCACCCATCCACAAACAAATCTAATCGATTATCAACTTGGTAAACACATATACACAAGTGATTTGAATTCATGCAAATGTGTGATGAGACTAATCAACCGAAGGCGACGACGACGACGATGATGATGAGTTTGCGTCCTAGATTCCTCGTATAGCGAGCTCATCAATTTGATGTGTGAACGAGACGTCTTCATTGCGATATTTTTTCATAAAATTTCTCAATATTGAAGTAGAAGCATACACTTGTATGGCTCATTAGTATTGTATTGAACGAAAACAGATAAGTTGTTTTGCATTGATAAACAGTTAAACTGTCTAGAGACGCACAAGGAGGTCTAAACCACAGGAATGCTCAATAAGGCATGATGAGAACAGGTCTACTTAGTATGAGACTGGTGATAAACATATGTAGATGTTAATCTCTCATGGGTCATCGATCGAAACATACAATTTCAATTAAATGGTGCGATATGGAAAAGTGATTTTTTTCCTCTTCCTTTCCTTCGTTTCCCCTAGATGATATCGTTTCATAATTAGGTGATTATTATCCCTCGCTCAGTGACGATTAGGTATCCATACGCAGCAGTCATTATTCCAATAGATTGATTTCACTGACTACTTTAACGGACCGAGTATCACTTCACACCTGAGAATAGATATGAATTCTAACTTGTTATTAACTGAAAATTTATCGAAACAGTGAGGACATTGATTGCTTCCCGTAGATAAAAATTATTATCAGCAATATTGTGATGTAGTCGAAATTGGTTTCATTATTGTCAAATTCGAATATGCCCAGCAGATGCTATCTGGCTATCTTGAATTTATCATCCCCATTAGAATGAATATGTATCTTATAGAAACATCGATGACATCACCATGTTATTAATTTTTGTCCTAACATTGAAATGTTTTGCATTCTCTCGTCATTAAACTGTCATTACAATGAAGTCACATCTCATTTCCGAGTTGTCCTATGTGTGAAAATATCTTCATTCTATCGTACGTACATCGCATCATTACCGTGACATCATAATAATTTTCACTCAGCTGCCAGTAGAAACCCTCTTCTCGTGTCAGGAGTGAGTGAGCGAGCTAATCCATTGGATATCGTTGTGTTTATTTGTACTTTTGTCATGATCATGATTTATGATGGATAAAAAGAGTTGAGCGGCGAGCAATGTGTCAAAGTCGCTAAGAATAGAACAAATTCAACGAGCGCATCGACGCGTGCCGAACAGGATGAAAGATTGCCAAGGATAAAGGTAGATAGAGAAGAAAGGGAGGAGCGAATGAGATGGATATTGATATAATGAACATGCAAGCAAAGCACGATTGAAAAGTAAATAATGACGTATGATTTCTTTCAAAAGATCAAAGAGTGAAATGAACTCATTCATGGCTTGTTATCTGCAGACACGCTAGCGTTCTAAACATCTATACATCTACACCATATTTCAGGTTTTCCTATCCGAAAAACGAATCCTCATTTCCTTCTTATTGAACAAGCGTTACTTCAGTTTATTCATCACCATACATCTCGAAGATGTGCTAAAACAGCTGATCAGAATAGAGAACAAGCGAAAGAGAAAGTGATCTCGATTGCCATTGGTCAGTTCCTGTCTCTTCCTTCCTTCCTCTTCTCTCTCTCAACTATAAATACTCACCATCGCTGCTACCTTTTCCATCATTCATTTCGAATAACTTCCTCAACATGATTTCATCTGCCTTCGCTTTTACATTCGATCAATGTGTACAAGCTGCAGCTGATCCACAATTATCATCAGCTGAAACACATCTACTTGCCACTCTTCTCTCACAAGAAGATCAACTTCACTACCATCAAATCAATAACATTCAACTTCCACAGCACGTTCTCTACATTCTACATCAACTCACCTTCACTTTCACACCATCCACCTCTTCCTCTTCATCAGCCACTCTCTGGACGGCTATCACTCTACTCAAAAAACTCTACCTCCTCTCACAACAACAACACCCAATCGATCTCATCACCATCGTTGCATCCTTCACTCTTGCTCACAAATATCAACACTCACAAACACACATTCTCGACTATCATCTCATCGCTCACACCTTCAACATCCACGACATCCAGCTCATTCATGTAAGTCCATCTCTCTCTCTCTCTCCATTCTCATACCTTATTCTGTCTCATGATAGGATGGTGAAGTTGCACTTCTCGACGCTCTCTCCTATGACATCAGCGTGCCAACACCCGATGACTTCTTTTCTTACTTCTCCAATCTGGCTAACAACACTGATCCGAAAATCAAAACAATCATTGACGAAGCTCGTCTTGCACTCTCGTCGCCCTCACTTTCACATCAAACATTCGGTAAGTCAAAAGGGGAAGAAGAAGAAGCGAATGTGCATGTAGTATTGGTTGTCTTGTATTTAGGTGTTCTTCATAACTATTCGCCGAGTGTGGTAGTGCTTTCTGTCATGTATAATCATTTGACATCGAATAGCTGGATGAGTGAACTAGTGAAGAAGATTATTGTCGGAAAGAAAGATGGTGATCAGTATGTCGTAAGTGATTTTGGATGTGTATAGATTTGTGATTATATGGTGATGTTTATTTTAGAAACAACTGATTCATTGTATAGCTCAACTTCAAAGTCTTGCAACATCATCATGATTCAATGTACTTAATACTACCGAACAGTGATCAATCATAGACGAACTTAGCTAACATTATACGCATCGGATATTTTTCATCTTTAATCTTCTGTATATGGCTATTTATTTTTCTTCTTAGTCGATTTTTTAGTTATAAAATACATACATATACTAATCTCCTACGTTATGGCGGTACCGCCCACTTTCTTTGGTGATGGGAAAAGCAATGTATTCATTAGCAGAGTGTAGTGATCTTTATATGAGAGTTCATCGATAGGATCAGGATAAATTAGTTTGCTTCTCATGTCAGATGTGTCACGGTCATACACATTCCAAATGGATGAGCTTCCTTTACGAGGAAACTAGCACATCCACACGGCATTCAACTACAATCTAGGACACCAACGTGCTTCACTATCTCTCCTTCGCCAGTTCATCATGCTCATTGTCTTCGATTGATTAGTCTCATCACACATTTGCATGAATTCAAATCACTTGTGTATGTGTGTTTACCAAGTTGATGATCGATCAGATTTGTTTGTGGATGGGTGGATGACAACATGGTGTTTATTGATAGCTGTTGTGTTGATGATCCACTTGCTGCATGAACAACATTGCCAATCCTTTACAAATTAATTTAGTCTTAGATTGATATCCATTAATAAACAATACAGCCATCTGTGCTATTGTATTTCTTTGCAAGAGTTAGTTGCATGCAAAAAGCGCCTTTAGCTAATTTCGAACGTTTTCAACTTTTCAATATCTTTTATCAAGTGATTGAATTATGGACTAAGAATTTGAGGTGCATTTCATCGAAATTGATTTTCTTCGCCTTTGATGCTTCTTTTACAAACGATGATGATAAAAGCATCACTATCCTCGAATCTCTATTATTGATTTCGTTTACAAAAAAATAAAATATCTATGCAAAATAAATATCTAGCCAGAGATGTAACACTAAAAGAATGCTTTGAGTAGTGCAACAGGAGATGATCGTTACTATACACACGGAGAAAAATGAGATACATTGATGAGGTCATCACCACGAAGTCATTACACTTTGAAGTTCAGCAATACAATGAATCAGTTGTTTCTAAAATAAACATCACCATATAATCACAAATCTATACACATCCAAAATCACTTACAACATACTGATCACCATCTTTCTTTCCGACAATAATCTTCTTCACTTGTTCACTCATCCAACTATTCGATGTCAAATGATTATACATGACAGAAAGCACTACCACACTCGGCGAATAGTTATGAAGAACACCTAAATACAAGACAACCAATACTACATGCACATTCGCTTCTTCTTCTTCCCCTTTTGACTTACCGAATGTTTGATGTGAAAGTGAGGGCGACGAGAGTGCAAGACGAGCTTCGTCGATGATTGTTTTGATTTTCGGATCAGTGTTGTTAGCCAGATTGGAGAAGTAAGAAAAGAAGTCATCGGGTGTTGGCACGCTGATGTCATAGGAGAGAGCGTCGAGAAGTGCAACTTCACCGTCCTATCATGAGACAGAATAAGGTATGAGGATGGAGATGGAGAGAGAGATGGAGATGGACTTACGTGAATGAGTTGGATGTCGTGGATGTTGAAGGTGTGAGCAATAAGATGATAGTCGAGAATGTGTGTTTGTGAGTGTTGATATTTGTGAGCAAGAGTGAAGGATGCAACGATGGTGATGAGATCGATTGGGTGTTGTTGTTGTGAGAGGAGGTAGAGTTTTTTGAGTAGAGTGATAGCCGTCCAGAGAGTGGCTGATGAAGAGGAAGAGGTGGATGGTGTGAAAGTGAAGGTGAGTTGATGTAGAATGTAGAGAACGTGCTGTGGAAGTTGAATGTTATTGATTTGATGGTAGTGAAGTTGATCTTCTTGTGAGAGAAGAGTGGCAAGAAGATGTGTTTCAGCTGATGAAATCATGTTGAGGAAGTTATTCGAAATGAATGAAGAAAAGGTAGAAGGGACGGTGTGTATTTATGGTGTCCGAAGAGAAAAGAGAACATATATGTTCAAAACGGTTGATCTATACGGATAGATGATACGTCATTATTTACTTTTCAATCATTCTTCGGTTGCTTTTCGTGTTCTCGCTTTATGTACCTCTTAGTCTATATGATCTTTCATCCTGTTCGGCACGCGTCGATGCGCTCGTTTTTAAATTTGTTCTATTCTTAGCGACTTTGACACATTGCTCGCCGCTCAACTCTTTTTATCCATCATAAATCATGATCATGACAAAAGTACAAATAAACACAATGAAATCGAACGGATTAGTTCATTCACCGCTGACACGCAAGACATGATATAGAGATGATAGTAGTCCATCTGTTAACTTTGGTCCATTTTGGATCCTATTTGTTCGTATTCACGTTGTAGAGATTTGAGATTCTCTATAAGTAAAAGAATATTTCAGTTATCGAACAAAATTCTAGTGAAGAAAAGGTATGTATACCATGGCAGTTTTTCAGCGTAGTGTCTTTATCACTTTTGAAAAATACTAAGCTACCTGGTTGTTGAACATAAACTTTCTGAAAATAGTTTAGTAGGAAAATGATGATACAATTGTCTATAGAAATGATACTGACACGTCCAGTTTTCAATGCTTCTAATTCGTGTCGTAGAACATTGGCAGCTTGAATCTAAACGAATGAAAATCGTCGTGTCAATCATTGTTGTTGTGTGATTGGCAGATATGTAAGAAACGTATAGATCATTGTCTGACCTTAGTTTGGATATTTGCAGATGCGGAAGACATTGTATAAAACAAATCTGTTTATGTCTAGAAAAGATAACTTTTAGTTATTATTATTTCAAGTACTGTATCTTGTTTTATGAGAAGATAAGTAGTGTATAGTAATTACAAACAACGGGAAAAATACACAATACAAAATCAAATCTTTTGAACAATGTTAACATAAACAAGAAAGTCTGAATTTGCAAAAAAAAAACTTTTATTTCGCTTTTGCTTTTTTAGCTGAACTACCAGCAGGTTTGCCTTTCGGTTTAGCTTCACTTGCTGGTTCGATTTTACGTTTCAGACCTTTAATGGTGACAATCGGAGCCTCCTAAACGAAAATAGAAAGATAGGAAACATGTTTGCAGGCGATTTCAACATACAGATTTCTTCGGACTCGATGTCTTTGCAGTTACTGTACGAGATACGGTAAAGAACTTGTCTAGACGGCCTTGTTGAGTCGTTGATCGAGCTTTGGCCAACTTTTTCGAACCATTACGAATACGTTCTTCGCTAAAAGAAAAGAAACTTTTTCTCGTATTCAAAACTAATATATCATGCAGAGAATTTGTCGGCTGGCGAAGGACATCTATTCTATAGATGGCTTCGGACGACTTTATCCGCCCACCGTCAACATATGAATTGGTTGGCTTTTTAAATTGACGTAAATACTCAAGTAAAAGTGCAATCTGCTTTTTTATACTTTCAAGTGAATCATCTCATATTTTGCTCGTGCTAGGGAAAAGCATAGCTATTTAAGCGAGTGTATCGTTGTTACATTGCACTCAATTGTTATTAAAAATACTACGATGACATCACCTTATTTTGTCAAAGTTTATTTCACCAAACAACAACAACAACAACAACCTGAAATCCGTCGATTTGCCGTAGGTTTACATATAGTTCCTATAAATAGCTTTATCTTGACCAATGTTTTGTTTTCTTCAGATTGATATTTCGCCCGAGAACAATATTTATCAAGAATTATGTGCAAAGATCGCAACATTACAACCAGATATTCAACTGCATGGTTTCACTCTTCAGTATATCGATGATGAAAGCGAACGCATTACATTTAGTTCGACAGAAGAATTACGTTCTGCAATATCTACGAACAAAGATACAAATACCTTGAAGATCTTTGTTACTGCCAATCAACCGGCAGCTACTACCGCGTCTGGTACTACTTCGAATAAGGAACAGCACGTCGGCGTTGATTGCGACGGTTGCGAAGGTCCAATCTTCGGTGTTCGATACAAATGTGTAGTATGTCCAAACTATGATTTATGCGAAAACTGTTCATCGACAGGTCTTCATTCGGAACACAATATGATTAAAATATCGAAAGCAAGCAATTTTTATCATCCGTACGGTTTTCGTCAACATCATCGTCGACAACGCTTTTCACATCCAACGTCTACACCTTCAACTCCACCGTTCACTCCTAATGGCAGCTTTTTCGAGCAAATCCAAACACAAATCCCTCAATGGTTACCCAACCGCGAGCATGCTGCTCATCTTCGCACACATATGCAACACCATTTCGATAATATCAAAACCCAAACCCAAACCCAAATGCAGCATTCTCGACACTATTTAGAGAACGTTGGACAGTATATACAACAAGCTTTATCTCCACTCGGCATTGACTGCGATTTTCGTGTTGACGGACAGCCACCATCAACAAGTGGAAACCCTGGCCAATCCGAAGCAAGTACTGCATCGCAAACGGCGAATGCAACAGAAACCGATCAACAACAAAATGGAATTTCATCGATATTGAATATGTTTCGCAGTTCGACAACTGTCAATCCGACAAGTACGTCGACTGAACCGAGTAACTTACCGGAGAAGAACGTTGAAGAATGTGTCGAGAAATTGAAGGCAATGGGCTTCGATGAAGTGGATGAAAGTCTCATCGAACTCATTCGCGAAAAACAAGGTGATCTGAATTCTGTTCTGGACGAAATGAGCACGCGTCGTCCATGAAAACCGATTTCAATATTTATCTAAACATTATTTTTGCTTTTACATTTGTAAATTCTACTCCTTAGTTTTCTAATCACGAAATATAATTCAAGCGCATGCAGTTAAACGAGAAATATCGTTCTACTTACGAAAACCCTTTTTCCTTGACCATGTACGATACAAGACCATCTTCATCCGGTTCTGTCCATTTTAGCTAAATACAACGAGGAAAATGTGAAAAAGAACTAAACCCATCGTATACGAACATCTGTCGCATCAGCTGGTAAGATTTCAGGTACTTTAAACAATTGTCTGGCTTGTTCGTAAGCCCAATCATCTGGTACTGCATATTTCTAATCAATCGATATTTCAATAAGGGAAAGTCTAGAAGAAGATCTTCGTTATTTACTTTCTTATCGATATTTTTGAGAATTGTTTCGATATTTCGATGTTGCTTAATCAAATCAAGCGCCCGTTTTTGACCGATACCTTTAATCGAATCACAATAATCACAGCCGAGTAAAATGCACAAATCTGTGAACTAAAGAAAAAATACAAATTAATTTCTAAAGAAATAAACAATCGTGTATTTTACTTCTTCAAAATTGATTCCTAAACCTTGCAAAGCTTTCGTTAACGAATATTCACGTATAGGCATTTTTCTAAACAATCACACAAGTCTGATTTTCAACATAACACAGTTAATCATTCATTCACCGTGTTTCACTAAAAGTTAAATGACGAACAAGGACATCAGCGCCAAATGTTAATGCCTACAACAAAAATTCTATTGCAATAGCATAAGCCAAAAAATTCTTTCTTACATCCATATCTTCAGTTCCAACTCCGTAAACTTTTCCTTGCTTAACAAGCGCAGCACATTCTGAATTCAAAAACACCCAAAGGATATACTTATCGACAAGACAAATTTTATCCTACGAGCTTCGGCTTCTGTTGGTGCATCAACATAAGGAACACCCATCAGTGTCAACAATCGCTTACAATCATCATTATGTTCACGAGTAACTTTAACTGTTCGACGTGCAAACTTATCGAAAGCTTCTCCATCACCTAAAAATACACTTATCACTGTTTTCACAGTCGTTCGAATGAATTTTTCGTTTACCAGCATCCGCTGCTTTGGTCTTTTCAGCTTCCGCTTCGGTTCGTCGTTCGAGGCGTTTTTCTAATTCTTTCGATTTTAATTGCGGTGGTTTACCATCAAACACATACACTGGCTTAATACCATTTTCAATCATTCGAATCGTTCGATAGAACATCCCCATCAAATGACTTGTCGTTTCTCCACTATCATTTGTTAAATTTTCTCCATTCTGACGAACAGCGATCAGAAATTGGTAGATAGACATGGAGCTAGAACTCAACGATAATTCAGGCCAGTCTAACTTCGACATTACTTACGCATCAATCGCAATTTTCCTTCCGAAATAATTCGCCATTTCACCTTCTTTAATCGCAGCCGGGGCTTGGTCAGCAATTAATTTCGCTAAATTATGAATTCCCATGGCGTGTATATATATATTTCTTATCGAATCTCAAAGCAAAAAAAAACAAACAAACAAATTCATTCATCTATTTGATCGATTATGCAAAACAACAACTCGAAAACAAACAATCACTTCTTGGAACTCTTCTGCATATCGTATCGCATCTTTCCATATGAAAATGGTATGTATCGATAACGAATCATATGTAATATACGTTGTCGCATTGTTAATACGAATAATACAATGAAATAAATGACAAGCACTGGCCACATAACTGGAATGTTCAGTATTGGAATGAACGTGAGAATTAAACTAATAGCAAACGCTTTGAATGTGATATACCAGAACTTAAATTCCGGCAGACGTCGCATAAATGGTCGAAATTCTTCATTTGATCTTGTTGGCAAACTCGGCGCATGATCGTCATCATCAGCGAATGATGGATCTTGTTTTGGTGTGAGAAATAAAAGAAATTGATTGAGTAGAAAGATGCCAAGACAGTAAGCAATGATATAGAAACCGTGTATAGAAATAATTCGAACAACGAAAACGATTAACAAGCATAAATTCGTCAACCAGCGAGCAACAACATATGGAGTGACACGGTCGAGGTAATACTGAATAAGAATATCTAGGCGAGTAAAACTCGAGACGTTTTTATCCTGGTCCATTCGATTGAATTTCAATAACTTTGACAAAAATTGTGTAAGAGAAAGACGAATGAATTCCTATTGGTGAGAAGAATAGAGGACGCTAAAACATGTTTTGTCGAGAAAATTATTTCGCAAGAAAAATGTGCGGATTTTTATAGAATTTATTTTTTATATAGAAAAAAATTATCCGATTGTTTAAGTTTGAGACAATGATTGATCATGAGTTTCAGGGTCATTCTCGACCTATTGATATTCATCTCGAAGAATTGTAGCGTTTAACTTCGCTCTACTATCTTTTTCTTTCGAAATAACGTATTTTCTTCATAGATTTTCATGTTTGTCGACGAGAAAAAATGGAAAAATGGTTCTTTTGCTTGTATCACTTTAGATCATGGCAAAAATGGATCTCGGTGATCTTTGTGGACGATTTCTAACATCACGTTTTACTAAGCAAACACAGTCAGCCAATTCAAAGTCATCGTTAAACAATGGTTACATCGCGAATGAACACAAACGTCACTCAATTCTCACACAGAAGCTTTTGTTCAAGCCTTATAAAAAAAATCCACTTGATCAACTACGTAAACGCTATTCAAATCTAGTTGGTTCGTTGATTAATGAAAGTATCAAACCGATCGCTGCACCAACAACAACAACAACGACGACGACTACTACATCTACGATTACCAAGAACTCTTCAGTACCGAAAAAAACTTCATCATTGATGATGAATTGGGAATTATTGAAAGATCGTGGATCGGGATTGATTAATCTTGGCAATACATGTTTTATTAACGCCTCGTTACAATGTTTAGCCAATACTCCACCGCTCGTTCAGTGGCTTTTATCGAACTCTCATCATCAGCATTGTCGAATGAAATTAGAAAAACAGTTTTGTCTGTTTTGCGAAGCTGAACGAATTGTTAAATTAATTCATTCCAAAGCCGCCTATTCGTCGTCATCAATGGGTCCAGCTAACCCGAATAATCTTGTCCGACGAATAAAAGATATATCGAAAACTTTTCGTTTCGGACGTCAAGAAGATGCTAGTGAATTTCTCATTTGTCTTATCGATAAAATCGTCGAAGCTTGCCTTCGTTCGTCTCAGCCGCCTGAACGCTTGCGGCCATCATCCGGTACTTCCTACGACCAATTGTGCCATTCTCAAACGTTTCTTCATGAATTATTCGGTCTCGTTCTTCGTTCGCGTGTTGTCTGCTCGCGTTGTCATCATACATCGGATACATTCGAAGTACAATATACTTGGATTGTTGGTGTGCGGAATCATTCAGATTTAAGGCAATCACTCCACCAGTTTGTCTGTCGTGAAACGTTAGCAGGTGAAAACTTGTATCGGTGTATGAAATGTAAACAGTTAGTACCAGCGATAAAACGGTATACATTACACAAAGCACCGAAAATTTTGCTCATCAATTTTAAACGTTTCGAATTTGGCAAAAACTCACATAAACTATCACATCTCGTTCGTTATCCTGAACACCTTAACGTTAAACCGTATATGAGCGAAGAAAATTGCAATGATCAATCGTTAAATTATCGTTTATATGCTGTTTTGGTACATGTCGGTTCATCGATGCATTCCGGACATTACTATTCTTATGTACGTTCGCCAAATAATCGTTGGTATAAAGCCGATGATTCAACAATGACTCAATGTGATCTAAATCAGGTGTTAACACAACATGGTGCTTATATTTTGTGTTATATCAATGAAACCGAACCAGCAATAGGAAATCATGTGACCAATGGCATCACATCAATGAATAAAACAATCTATCAAAATGGAAAATTGAATAACAGTGAACAAAGAACGACTACAGCAACAACTAATTCGAAGTTTTTCACACCACATTTGTTATGATATCTATGAAATATATATTCTTGTCTTTTGATCTTTTGCTTTCTCTCTTTCTACTTTTCTTTCTTTCTGATCTATGTACGTGGTGTGATTTTGTTATTTAGTCAGTTAATAAAAGGTTGTTTTTTCTTAAAACAAACATACCCATCCCAGTGAACGTCATTGCATTAGTTATGACAAATTTCGTCACGAAGTGGAACCATAACACTGTATCTATGTTTCGCCATCGGTTAATTTGCTCTACAAAATGATGCGTCAAATCAAAACTATTCATATTAATTGCATACTGTGTAGGTGTTCACTGACAATGAGAAAGAAGAACGATTTATATTCAGAGTTTACTAAGTGAAAATCAAGTCTGGATCCAAACGTTTGCGTAACACATTTGTAAAAGTTGACGCGTATCAATATAATGAACCATATCGGTTAAACTCATTGACAGTTCTTGTTATACATTTTATGAGTAAGAAAACTTCAGTTATAGAAAACACATTCATGACATTGGAGAGTGCATCGTTACATTAATGCTACTAAAATTAGTCATTTTAGACTATGGCTATTACCTGAATCATTGACGTACATCGGCAATTGCAATAAATGAGTAACTTACAACTACGCAAACAGACACCACTGCATCTAAAAAAATGTCCGTTTTCGTGTATATAAACTGTTGAAACTGGTTCAGTTGAAATCGACTATCACATTTATTTACATTAACACAAATGGGCAATCTGCTTAGACGTGGCAATCCAGCTGGAGGTATCGGTGGGTACCCAGGTGGTGGCTATGGTGGATATCCTGGTGGCGGATATGGAGGATATCCTGGTGGTGGATATGGCGGGTATCCTGGTAGTGGATATGGTGGGTATCCTGGTAGCGGATATGGTAGCGGATATGGTAGAGGTTTATACACCACAACTACTACTTTCATGCCGCGTGGACGCGGTAGTGGTGGATGTCGGGGACGTGGTGGTGGTCGACCTCGTCGCTACTATTAGCAGGCTGCCAGTACGAAAAGACGATTATTTTCATAAATTTTCATTTTATATGTTGTTTTTGTGTTAAGGAGATGTGAACGACTCATCTCCTTGCTATTACGTGTGAAATATATTTAATATCGTTTCTATCCAATATTTGTTTATTTATCTGACTTGAGCGATGGCTGCAATCTTCAAAGAGTAGATTCTATCATAATAGTATAAATATCCTAGAGAAACAAACCAAGGTCAAGTTGGATTCTAAGTACTCTAGAGTTGTTAACACATATCATAATATATCATGTTGTTTATTAAAAATCTCAATCATCAAGATTGACTACGCTATACTTTCAAAGTAAGAGTATAAAAGGATATAGACAGGGATCATTTTTTCTGTTGACTAAATACACCAATTCGATCATTCATTGCAACGAACACATTTCCTTTGGTATTGACAGCTAATGATTCTGGATATTCAATACCACTAGCCATCAGTTGCTGGAATTGTCCATGATCGTCAAAAAGCACAAGACGATCATTATGTGAATCAGCAATTAACAGGTAATGAGTATCTGGCAATGTAGTAATGCCACGAGGACTTGATAACGGTAAGGAAAAATTTCCTGTCGTTTCACTACCAAAACGTTGTACAAATATACCTTCGAGAGTAAACTTATGAACACACGAACCTAAAAGAAATTCTCAATACAGATGTGTCGCTAAAAAACAGTACAACAATAGTAACCTTGTGGATCTGTTACGTAAATATGATCATTAGTGGCAACACAATATGCTAATGAACTGAAGATATTTTTATTCCCAAAAAAACGTACGATATTTCCAGTTTTGTGATCATAAACTTTGATTTGTCGATTCGCTTGATCGCAAACATAAATCAAATCGTTTTTATCTACACAAATGCCTTGATAATTCGTTAGGCCTGCATCAATATCATCGCAAGCAATCGTACGTGTCAAACGAAGATCATTATTTAAAATTAACATTTGTAATTCGTCGCTCATAACAACTTCGCCGTTACTCAAAACAGCTAAACCATTTTTCGTTCCGTAATGACTGATAATTTTGGCAACTTTATTGTCTTCTGTGAACGCGACGACACGTTCATTTTTTGAATCGGCTATGAATAACAATGAATCCGATGGGCGATAAGCAATACCACGTGGTTGATCAATAAATGATTTTCCAAACTCCAACGAACCAAGTGAACCGACTGAAACAAATTCTAACTGCGATGAATTTGACATTGGTTTTTCGCTTGTTTCCGAGTACAAAATGTGTTGATAATAATAAGACAACTGAAGGAGAAATTCTCTTCGTATAAATACGATTCAACGAGCCGAGAATGATGTATATCTTGACATAATGTCTATTCCAGTTAACTAATATATATCACAGCAATATGATATATACGTCATTCGATGTGTATATAGAAGAAACTGGAAGAATAACAATCATAAATGAGAATTTTGCATCAGAAATAGATTGTTGTTTTTATAGAGACAAATGGCTTTCTATTTCGATAATCGTATCGTGAATAGTACACTTGATGAATATAAACAAATCTGTTTAGAAATAAAAAAAGGACTATGACTGAAAGTAATTAATATATAGGACACTAGATCGAATTTCGCTATTTATCTCGATCGAATGCTTTCATAGTTTTTGACGATCTGATTGACTAGTAGGATACATTCTCTTGGAATAGCACAATGATTCACATAGATTTTGGAAGTATCAATACCAAATGACCTCGATACAATCAGATTTTCATTTCGATTGTTTGATGGTTGGCGTGATGCCACTTTCTTGATCAATTCAAAAGTGGCGCTGAAATTGAAAATCCCACTCACTAAAATCTGACTAAAAGTAATCTAAGTCGGAGATGATTTTCTTTAATATAATAAATAAAACTTACATACTATGTAAAACTTCACTGCACTGACGGCTAACTATTTCATTCGGTTTACTTTTTCAGCCAATGATGTCTTCACCACAGTGATCTACGATGATCATGTCGACATCCCATTCAAAGAAAATGAATCAATATCAACTATAAAAACATTTTATTTTGTTGAAGGTGAGTGAAGATCAAAGTGTTCTGGTCGAAATTAATAAAACTTGCCAAGTTTCACTTGGATTCATCGTGTTAAGGGTGAGGGTACATATTTGATTCAACCCGTGCCTATCAGGTTCCTACGCTTAAGTTTGCTCCCACATTTCTTTGTTGATCAGCAAAAGTGTCGTGATCGTCAACACATACTGTTGCTCATGATTTTCAAAGATATCTTCTGATCGATGTGAAGCTAGCTCCTTCGTGCTAGCTTCACATTGACGTATATCAATTTCTTCCGTTGGTTAATCGAAGCTTCATCATTTACATATGTCATCAGTTTCATTGCTATGGAATATCTCGTGTACTCGGTAGGTTTTATCCTCAGCGTATCATTCGCTTTATATGGACTCAGTCATCACGAAATTACCTTTGTTTATTATGACGTGTTACATGGAAACTCATCCTAAACACTATGTCGATACAGTTCAAATTATATTCGTTAATGAAGTTTGTGGTCGACCTTCGCAATTCTGTTTTTTCCCGATACATAAGAATATTTGAATATCTTTTCCGGCTGTATTAATGTTTTACAACTAAATAAAACATGTTTTTCATATTTGTACTCTGTTTTTCAACTGAGGAAACCAAGATAGTGAAATACTGAGCATTTGGTTACTAAAGCCTCAAAAGAGTCTTGCTTGTCTGCTGATGAAACTGTTTTAACGAACGAAAATAGAAATAATGAATAGAATAAATGGAAAGCCATTATACAGAATTTATGCTGAATGTAGCAATAGATACGTGCTAAGATCTGCCAGTGAACATTTTCATATAGGTGACGATTTTTAGCTGAACAATAGAAAGTATTGTGTTCGAAAGTGACTTAATATGAATGAAAATTTGACGTATACCATCACCCGTGTTGTTATGTATTAGTTTTAAAGCGAAAAAGAACAATTGTTCCTATGAGAGAAAAGATAATTTCATACATGCACAATTTGCGCTGAGAAATGAAATGTGATAAATGTAAAGAGAAAATCCGTTCACAAAGTCCAAAATATGTTTATCAAGTCATTAATATAGCAATTTCACTGAAGATCAGAACATTGCCGATTTAATAAGTGGGTTCCTGTCGCGTGACTGTTGTCGTCGTGGTTGTTTCGGTATGTCGATCACGTGGACCAGCACGCATCAGCCGAAATCGATTCAATCCGTCAGCAAGATAAGCAATGAAAGCTGCGAAACCGAAAAACTACAAAACAAGATCAACAAATATTTATTCATTGATTTCTCTCATTCCTATACCGCTGCAGCTCCAAAAACGCCACTATTTGACGCAATTGTTGCTATAACAATACTTGCAATAAAGTAGAGCAGTGCAATAAAGCCACACCAGAACATTTCCTACGATAAAATCGAAAAAGAAAACGATCTTTATGGATAAAACAAGATAAATTTACGATCATAGGCCAACGTTCAGGTATACAAACAGCTTGAAGATTAATCAAAGACAACACTAATAGAAATGCTGTCCCGATAGTTGCTAAAATAGCAACGAAAACAAAGAATCCTTTATGACCAGCGTAAGTGAGTGTTGGTGCAGCAGCACCTAAGATAATGGAAAGGATATCGCATGCCTAAAGTAAACATATGGACTCAAAAAAAGAAACGAATCGATGCTATTTACGAATTGAATGATTTTTAATATGCCAGGTAATGTCCGAAGATAATTTATTTGGCATGTAATTCGCAAAGGTCGTGCTTCACTTGACATAGTGGAGGTATTTTTGGAATGTAAATCTACAAAAGAACAGCGTAAATCATCGTTTGGATATAGTCGTGTATCATTCTTTTAACAAAAATCAATAGAACATGAATTTATTTGTCAAAGAAGTGCCGATCGATCGAACGATTCAAACAGTATAAAAGTATTGTTCATCAGAGTACAATGATCAACAAGTAAGTGTGTATATCTCTTTCTTCTTACTCTGAGCAACGACAAAACGTCACGTTACCTTGAATAAATACAATCGTGTCTGTATATACATAACAAGTAACGAATCAATACATCTATCACCAAATAGAACCTACCGAAAAGAGTACCAGACGGAAAAAGTACTAGCAATTGATATGACGTACTATTTTACGCTATTCATAAATGAATAAATCATTTGACTATAACTAAATATGAATCATTTTTAGAAGAAAAAAAATCCAATTGGTTTGAGGGCACCAATTGAATAGAACGTCGTACGGTAAAATACTAACACCTTCCATGCGTTGTCTTTTGCTACACGTACACGCCGGAGAAAAGGAATGCAAATTTCCGTGAGTAGTAGAACGACACAATCAATGTGACTATATTCTTTTTGATTTTCACTTCGATTTCATCTTGATAAGCATCAATATCCTCGAGACATAGACGAGCACGTGGAAGCCCTTTCGATCAATGATAAGATGGAAGATCTTCTTAATTATGACTCATTAAAGCATGCCTTAGATGTTAAGATGTCAATGAATCGTTAGCAGATGTGAAATGGAACAATTTGCCAATAAATTCTTTATTTGCATTAGAATATATATATTCCGAAAATTTCTTCTAATGAATGATGAATGTCTGCAACTGTTGATGAACTTTTTCAAAGGAAACAATTTGCTTGAAACTTGTCATTCATTTGCATATATATAATATTTGAAAAGAATGAGAAGACGATTGGATTTATCTTGCATTAGTGTCGTCTTCAACTGTCTCTCTCTCTCTCTCCCTTTGCATCTTCTTCAATCGAATCAGTGAATGTGCTGACTAAATAATAAAGAATTAACATTTTTCCCTCCGATGAGATGAATAAGGGGGAGAAGAGGAGGAGAAAGATAAATTGTTCTTTGTTAGTTTAGTAGTCATATGAAAAAAAAAGAGAAAAGACAGAGAGTTCTACAGGAAAATATTTATCATCATTCAATGCATTGATGTCGATGTTTCCTGCAGTTAGTTCGGAAAGAATGATGATCAAATATTGATGAATGACAACTGCGATTTTCCCTCTCCGTCTCTCTCTGTCTCTTCCTCTTGTCTATTATTCATTTACATTTAAGAGCATGGCACGTAAATTTTGCGGAAAAACATCTTGCTTTGTTCCTATTCGATGTCAATCAGTTTGTATCTTTTCTTGCGCATACACACGCACACACACCATCATTTACTTGTCCACAATTTCTATTAAATTGTGCCTCTCTTCTCATATTCGAGAACGGAAGATGTTTCTCGATCTTTTTTCCTTCTCTTCATGTTCATTATTTGCGGTTCCATTCATCCAATCATCTATCTCTGTTATATCCTCTAACTTTTTTTCTTTGTTCAAGAATGCCGAGCGAAAAAGAGTTCTCGATAGCAGCAAAAAAAGCGCGCGCGAGAGAGAGAGATAGAGAGAGAAGAAAACAGCTCGAGTCGAAATAACCCGGCAATGCATTTTCTGCGTTCTCATCAGCAGCTTCATAGATAGATAGAAAATATAATCTATCAACGCACACACACACACACGCACATAGACACATCAGCATTTCGCATCATTGTATAGCTTCTTCATCGTTCTTTTCTACGAGGCAATGAAAAAAAAAAGAAACGAGACATGGAATAGACAAAAAATATTGTGGTCCTAATACCGACGAACACTCGACAGACAAGAGAGAACGGATAAAAATTGGTAAAAAAAACGAACGAGAGAAAAAGAGAAGCAAAAGCGTTTTTTCTAATACATACATAGATGCGAATGTCCACGACACACCATTTTCTTTTCCTCTCTCATTTTTTGTGCTTGACAAACGTTCTCGTCTGTCTTCGTTTTTTTTCCCTTTACTACTCTACCATCTGTTGCATATGTAGAAGCAGAGAAAAAGGAGAAGAACGGGAGAAAAAACGACCGACTAGCAACAACAAGGCAAAGTAATATCACATCCATCGAAATTGCTTTCTCTCTCTCTCTCGTACTATATTCTCGTGCTACCGAGTTGATTAAAGACACTGGTATAAAGTGATGGAATCACTGCTACTCAGAGAAAAATGTTTGTAACGACCATCTTTTTTTTTCAACTAATGATGAAGACCACAAAAGAAAAGGTAAAGAATGTTAACTAAAGATCAACGAGAGTTATATCCTCTTTTTTTTGTTTCAGTAATAGTCAAGCAAAAGAAATAACGGTCGGCAACGATCGGAAACAAATGAGAGTTCATCTCAAGAGACTAAAAGGAAGCAAGCAAGCACATTTTTTATTCTTTACCATCATCATTCGTCGTTAGATTCGTATATATATATGTGTGTGTGTGCTCGCGTCGATCACACGTTGTGTTGTCGACATTGTCGTTTTTTTATTAGATAAGTGACATGCGAACATAGAATAGTGGGTGTCGGTAATATTGTATCCTGCTGTTAGAGTATATTCAACGAGGTAGAAATGAATCTGATCGCTCCCTTATTTGTCTTGATAGTTTCTATTCAATAAGTGTGTTTAAGCAAAAAACGAGAAAAAAAAGAAAGCTCTCTTCTCTTCTCATATATACATATCATTGTGTATATATAGAAAAGAAACTATTGAAAAAGGCAATTAATAAGAAGAGTGGTAGTCGTCTATGAAGTCAAAAGTATTTTTTCTAGTTGAGTAAATATCTATGTTGTGGATAGTTAATTATGTGAGATCTTCTTGAGTAGTAAAATCAAATATCTGCGATCTGATTCGATCGTTGGCATAAATCAGGAAAACGAATTTCGCTGATGACACACATCTACTCATCTTGTCTACGCTCGCGGCCTCGAGCTGCAATTAAAACTCATTTTTTTCCTCTTTCTTTCTATACATGTATACTCTCTTTATTCGACAAGGTTGAACTCTTCTCTTTTCCATGTACGTATGAGTCAGTCGACTCAAATGATAATACTCCATGTGCAAGTGTGTGTATGGATATATGTATGCACTCGTCGACTATTTTTGTTCGTTTCTTCTAGTATAGAGATATATATATACACGTACATAGTCGTTCGTTCATCGACACGATTTTCTTTCTTTCTTTCTTTCTCTCGTTTTTCTCTTCTCATGCTTACTTGATGTACAATTCGTCGACATATGAGCAGTAAGTTATACATCTGAATGGAAATGTCAAGTAAGGTCAGATGGTTTTGTTTCTTCCTTTGTTTCTCAGAATTAGATTTCAATCATCATAATAATTATTATTGCTGTTCGTATGGATTCTATTTATTTTATTTCCTAGCAATCGAAGTTGTTTTTTTTTCGATATGGATTATTGAAATTGTTTTTGCACGCATCTATGTATACACATGGACGTAAATGGTTAATGATTGTCTTTACCTGATGGGTCTTCAACACCTCGTTAATCTTTGTCACAAATCGATTTTCTTCTTTTGGACGGAGGTTTGACGAGGAATTGAGGCTGATCAATGCGACGAAATCTTGCCGCACACTGTGCTTCACTTTCTTTCTTGTCAGATAGTACATCAAAATATATCAAATATCACATGTTTTCGTTTCGTATCCGATGGAATAATCTCCACGCGAAGTTCGCTTTTCTTTTGACAGAGATTTCAGAATTCGTGCGTTAGTTAAGAATGTGAATCGATAATTATCTTGAAGATATATGAAGAGATAAACAAAGTCGTTCTATGAAGACGAACGAAGCTATTTTTCTGGTATAATTAAATCAAACCGAGATCAACCTCGAATTATCGCAATATAAAGAAATGAATAAGAGATTTTTCTATGTCAACAATGAAAAATTACTTCTTGTAGATTATTTTGCCGTTTGCAGTATGGAACGTGTTAAAAGATCTTGTTTTATCGATTACAGGCTTTTGACAGTGAAAAATGACAAATGAGAAGAATAAAACTGTGTTTACCGACGATTAACAGTCTTTATTCGTGTTGTAAATGAGAGCACATTTCCTTTCAGCCATGTCGTCTACTTGAGGGTAACGAAAACATCTCAGAGATGCTTTGGATAATAACAATCTTGAATTAAACAAATGATGTCTTGCTTATTCGTTTTTTTTATTAGTATGAGAAGGAAAAAATGGAAAAGTTTCTTGTCGAGTTTAAAAAGATGTTACATAATATGAATTTATTGATTGTTTGACACTGATTGCTGTTGAGCATCACCATCACTTGATACAGTGCCTGCATTTGAATCCGAAACCGGAGCCAATGCAGGTGCTGGTTCTTGAACAGTCACAGGTTCCGCAGCAGGAGCAGGCTCAGGTGCAGGTGCAGGTGTTGGTTCTTGAACAGTCACAGGTTCCGCAGCAGGAGCAGGCTCAGGTGCAGGTGCAGGTGTTGGTTCTTGAACAGTCACAGGTTCCGCAGCAGGAGCAGGCTCAGGTGCAGGTGCTGATTCTTGAGTAACGACAGGTTCGGCAGTAGGAACATCAGTAGCATTGTCCGAAGAAGACGCAACATAATCAGTTTTGACTGATGTAACGAAAATGCACACCAAAGCGCAGATCAAGATTGTCGTGAAACGCATCGCTCGTCTGATAATTGAAAATCAATGAAACCGACACGAACAGATACGCTCTATATATATATATACACACGGTTTCAGTTTGATCACATAAGGTGTAAATAAGACCATAAGAAACAAAGGAGCAGCTGTGGCATCAGAATCAAATGACATTTTTTAATTTTCTTAATGAATACTACAATTCTTTTGTATCAATATTTCGATGAATAGATACGACTGTCACGCGTCCGATCATGCCTAGAGACGCTGGACATTTAGCGACACATATGCTGATAATACTCCCGAGGAACAAAGTCGAATGAGTCAATGAACTCTCTTTTGAAACGAACCGGGCATGTACTTTTAACAAAATGAGTTATTTTTAATGTGTAGCCGAGAATGTCAAATAGGATGTTCGAGTTATGCGTACTTTTTATTACAGCTGATACGTACGAAGCGAAGCAAAGCGTAAAATGACTTTCATGCAACACATATGATGTATATTACTTCTAAATTGATTTTCCATTGAAAACTAACAGAATACTTCGATGATACAATGGAAAAAAAAGGGATGTTAATGTTTTGTTTATCACAACCGTTAATCATCATGCTAAACATAAAAAAAACTTGGATAGGATTTGTCAATGTATCGACGGTTTTATTTCATCATATGATGAAGAAATCGATTTCGAATGTTGGTTATCTCGTAATCGCATATTATCGCTTCGTAAATCGTTGATACGATTTTGTAAATGTCGAATAAGTTTATCTTGATTGATCTCATTTTCAGAATTAAATTCACAGTCAATCTTTTCCGGTCCATCAAGATGAAGACTCGACGTCGCTCGCTGTTTAGATAAACTGAAATGATAGACCGTAAAGAGAAAAATTTTACTTAACATAACTTCAATATACCGATTCAATTCCAAGCCGATATGATCTTCTAACTTTTGCAGCAAACTATCAACTGTATGACTTGGTCGAGTCGATGTTTGAGATGTAGGGTGAGCACTATTATCCTAAACATAGATCAGACGATGATGCGGAGGTGATATGGAAACTCAATGGTTTTACTTTTGAAGATTTCGAGTAGCTATTTGTTTGATCCTGACAACTGTTTTCATCGAACGATCGAAGTCTTCGATCCGTGCTGATTTTCGGCTTTTCTAAGAGCATAGTTTGATTTTCAAGTGTGACTCGTTGTTCACCAACGTGATCACGGATTTCTTCGATAGTTCTGAGAAGATATTTCTATTTGAGACAAGAATATTTGTGAGAGATGAAAACAATTTCACAATATACCAGAAGAATTCGCGTTGGTTTTCGTTCGAAAAGAGCAGCTTCATCGTAGATAAACGATGACACATTCCTAAACAAACCATCATTATATCGAACAAGATCACTTCTCTTCATACGGAATTGCTGTATAAACATGCGAGGGTCGATTCATCGTCAAAAGTAATGTTTTGATCGCATCGTTTATCGAACGTACGCATGTTTTTTCAGCTACATCCAAACTATTATATAATTGTTGACGAACGGTATTTGAATCATTATAAACATCCGATAAGTGATTTACTGTTTGTTCTAATTCCTGAACACGTTCTTGCAAACGAGTCAATTCCATATTTTTCTCCTAAAGAAAACATCGAAAAAGTGTTTACATAACGTTGTCAACAAGGTTAATTATCAATGTTCAATCTCAACAAGATATTTGAAAACAAGGTCAAAAGATCGTACTTAGCATCTTTTACATCCTAAACTAAACAATCAAATCAAACAAAGTCATTCAATGATAAACTTATTCAATCTAGTCGTCAAATCGTAAGGAATATTCGATTTCATCTCTATAACTTTCTTCTTTTACATACCGTTTGATACTGTTCGTTCAAGCGTATGATCTCATTTTCATATTCTTGTCGATATTGTACTTTAATTCGATAAATTGTATTGGTACGTTCACGATCACTTTCTTTCAATTGCTGAAAAATGAAGCAATAGTGTTTTCTGACGAGTTTCACGTTCGAAAGAGTTACCAACTCCAGCTGTTGGCAACGTTCGCGTTCAAGATGCAATTTGTATTGAAAATCTTGTATGAGAAAGGCTTTTTCCTCTTCAAACTTTGCGCGTTCGTCGGATAAACGAAGTTCTTTATGGTCATTCCAAACCTTTCGTTCACGTTCCATTCGTTCTTCAATCTATGGAGGGGAGGTCAGGTTGTCTCCGAATCGAGAAAGAATTCTTTACTTTCAGCAGAGCATTCTTATGTGTTGTGGCTAAAGCAAGAAATTCGTTGTCTTTTTGATAAATAATCGCTTTTAGTTTAGCGATTTCACGATTTTTCGTCTAATGAAACTCATACGAATCATTCAATCATATCGATAAGTCTCATACCAGCGTATTTCGATACGAATTTATGTTCGAACGACGAGATCCATCAGGTATATACTTTCAAATCAAAATATGAACAAACGAGATAGTAAGATGACGAAAGACTTACCGACGGTTCCTCATTTTGCGGACAAAAATCATTTGTTTCATTTCTAGTTCATTCATACTCAATATCCCAAATCAATCATCATCTTCTCTTACTTACCTGTCTTTGACCTTCATGTAACCATTCGGTTTCATCAGGTTTTCCAGCGCTCGGTAGTTCTCTTCATAAGTAGAGCGTCTTTGATTATATCGATCGTTCAGCATTTTTCTTCTTATCACAACTCACAAATGTTAAAAGATCGTTGTTTGTAACAATCGAGAGAATGTCAGTGAAGTGAAGCTCTAGTAGATGAGTCAAGGCAAGATGCAGAGAAAGAAATTGCTCTGGTGAATAGACCACAAGAAACGAGTATAATTCGATCTATTGATCCGTGTCTATGTTTTATTATGAGTTGATTTTTTTCAGAACACACAATGCGAAATGAAGAGAAAAAAAAAGAAGAAAACCGAGAGACAAATTATGTTATCGGACGCATCTACACACAGAGAAAAAAAAACAATGGAATTCATCACCGTTAAAGAGAAAGAAGAAAAACAAACAAACAAACAGAGACAGAAGGATTTTATTTGAATGTTACTCGTTGACCAGCTGCTGGTGAAGCCGTGGCCACATCCGAATAAGCTCGTCCACGCATTTCGTCCCCATCGTCGATACTTGTACGGTAAATACTCATGCCACCAAAATGTGTCGTTTCATTATGACTGCCTGTACTATCTTCGGGAGTTTTCGTTGGATCATGATCATGTTTGTCTCCTCCGCCGCTTAGAATGTTGCTTATCGCGCCTCCAACACCACCTGAGTTCGTTCCACCATGACGTTGAAATGCTTGCATGGAAAATCGTCGATTTTTTCGTCGTTGTCCATGTCGTTTTGTCAAATGTGGATTGTCTTTACGCATTGTTTTCGTTTTTAACACATGTAACGATGAATACAAACGTTTTAATTCCGCCTGAGAATGAGAAAAAAAAAGAAATTTGAAACACTCTCAAACAAACAGAAAAGTTCTTACTCGAATTTCTTCCGGATCCATATCTCGAATATTCAATTCTCCAAATTCAATATCCCCGTTGGATTGTAATTTAGCGACGATATCACCTGGCTCTACTCCATCGGGCAGTGAACGGAATCGATCTCGAGAAGTATATTCTTCCGTTGTCTTTCGAAACATGAAGCACAACTAAATCAAACAGAATTCCACCGTCACGCCTCACCTCCCCATCTTCTTCGCTTACTTTAGTACAAAAAATAAATAAAACCATACACGTAACGGTTAAATGACATCGAAAGAAGGATAATATAAGAAATGTATCCGGATCGATCGATGCCCATAGACAATCTCTAGAATAAACAAAACAATGCTAGAATCTTCAAATATCAATTATCTCTTTTGTTTACTTACTTAATAGTGTGAAGTAATGTCGAGAAAAGCATTTCACAAACAATAACAATAGTAATTAATTTACGCTCATGGTATTCACATGGTGCTGTACGAGTACTATAGATAAAACGAATTCCCACACAAAGGAAAATAAATTCGGCTAAAAAGAAACAAACATTGTTAATCATATGTGCCAACATTTTGCCAACAAACCTATTTGCGCAAGATAATCCCACGAACGTGGTCGACATGTTTGAAAATTTCGTTTATTTCGAAAGGTAGAACCATGTCCAAGCAAATACTCCTGCAGAGGCAGATTCTCATTGGCATGATCAATATTAACAAATGTCCATCCGAGTAAATAACCCATAATCGAAATCGAAATGAAAAATAATATACGCAAAATATCTTTCTCTTTGACTTGAACACAATGTGCTTTTCGAGATTGAAATTCAGCCAGCATTCTAAATCAAATTAGTCAGAGACATGAACAGAGAAAAGAGCCGTGCCGTGAAACTCACTTGTAAATACGTAAAATTAATGTGCCATAAACAATTGTAAAGCCAAGTTCACGGAGCCTACAGAGAAAATTTCGAGAATAAATCATCGGACTCCATTGACAAAAAAACTAATCGAAATGCTATTACTAATCGTTAAGAATTTATTCAAGCGATGATCTTTTCCTTGCCATAAGATATATTTCGAAATTATTTAGTAGCTAAGAAAATTGATTTCCTACTTATAATGTAGATGATGATGGTTTTCACTCGATTGGATGATTAATAGATCGTACGACCTTCTCGGCTTTTTTTTCTTCTTCTTCAATGCAGTTAAACGTTTTTAACACGAGAAAAGACTTCTTCTTCTTCTTTTCTAATAACTATCATTTATCTTTCTCACTAGGAGATCGTTCTTTCTTACATACCATGGCATTATTAAACAAACGATTTCATGCGGGCCAAGACTATCAACAATAACCTAAAGAACAAAGAAAAACTGAGCTAGAAGGAAACGAAAGAACTTCGTTGTTTCTTACTGAAGTGTAGAGTAAAGCTGCGCCGAAGAGAACTAATTCTAATAGAATCCACATTGAATGTTTGATGATTTTAATTTTACGTTTTCGAAAAACAATGCCAGCGAGTATAGCAACAAAAACAATGAATGCTGATTGAATTATAATAATTATCGTACGTAAAAATCGATTGTATTTAACTAAACATGATTGCGGATTACATGTACATGTATTACCAGTTTGTCCTGAGGGTTTATCTTTTGTTGTTTCATTCCATTCCAAATGTTGACCCTCAATTGTCTTAGATAGATTATCATATCGACCTCGACAGAAACATGTATAGGCACCTAAGGTAAACCCTTGACCAGGTTGATGTATACACTAAGCGAAAGTTCATCGTGTGCATGATCGATTAGAAGAAGTTTTCAGTTTTACCTTCATATCTGATGGACATTTATGTGTGCCACCAAATGGTACATCACTTGTCTCACATTGATTGATATCAACGGATGATATATTGAAATAAGCGATAAGAAAATATCTAGAAGAAATTCGAGCTGTCGAAATCTCATCCTATCAGTTCTAGTCACATACCCATTGGTAAGAGAATGAATATTTGCCATGAGATATGTTTCATTGGGATTCTTCTCACATAGGACAGGTCCTATCCACCAAAGATGATTGGTTAGAAGACGTTGAGAATCTAATTTTAAGGTTTCACGAACATTTGTCATGGTAAACGTTTGTAAAATTGTATCTTGTCGAGTTAAATCTTCATTGACTAGATCATAACCAAATTCGGTCGTCGGACGAGTATATTTCAAAACATCGGAACCTCCATTATCATTTGGTAATGTGCGTATATCGAGTTCATTAAAATGTTTTCGACTAGCTAATAACATGCGCAGATCAGTGCGAAAGTCATAACGAATCTTGTCTAGTGAATAATCAGTAAAGTAGCTCGCGGATTGATTGAGTTTCGTGCGAATTTTATCAATAGTTTGTTTGATTTCAGCGAGTTCGCTTTGAAACGTTCGTTCAACGAGACGTATAACCAATGCTGACAAGGAATTATCTGATGGTATTTGATAAATACCATCTGAGGCCATATTGATTGTACAATCAGGTAATACAGATGACGTCGAACGTTGTAATAATTTACGTAACATATCGGTATTATGATGTTTATCAATTGCATGTGACGTTTGTCTCTTCAAACGCTGATGATGCGTTGTGATTGGAGAGGAGGATTTCGTATGAAAGAATATAAAAAAACTTAGCAGAACTATGAGAAGAAAGAGAATTAGATAGAAATATATTGATAGAAAATGAAATAATGACGATTGTTTGGACTTTGAATTGAACATGAAATTAGGTTTAACTTGAAGATATGACGAGGAGAAATAATCTGATTCTTCTTTTGGTTTCATGATTAGATTTCGAAGCTAAAAAAAAAAGAAACGAACGATATATAATTAACAAAGAAAAACATCGAGCATTAAACGAGAATGATAGATAAACATAAACAAACAGAGAAGACGACGAAAAAAGAAAATGTCGGTAAAGGCTTTTCACAATTGTCTCATTCAGACGTCGACAAACAGCTAATTTGTTCGAATCGTGAAGCTGTTCTCGGAGTAAAACTCGTCAAGTTTTGTTCAGTTTTTAATCGAAAGACAAACTCATCTCATGTATTGACATCCTTTTCCTTTCCTTCTTCTCGTTGTCTTATCATCTAGACTATACTATCTTAACTATCTTATACGGAACTACTCAATGGCGTTGTTGTCGTCGTCGTCATCATCTAAAAGAGACTAAATCTGTTCTATCTTGCTCGTCTCTCCTCTCTTTTTCTTGTCGATAGTCGAGCGAATGCGCAAGCAGACTTGTATGTTCGCTACAGCTCGTTCGCTCTCGCTCGATAATTGATCATTTGTTTTTTGACATCCACTAGGTTCTTCCTTCTCGATATAATCACTGAATTGGATGTCGTCGGACTGACTTCGCTTGATCTACGAGCTACGCTCATACACGTCCAAGTAATGAATATCTCATCGTCGAGTTTCCTTTTTTTTTTTCATCGTCAAAAAATTCATTATGCTCGACAGAGATAACACATGTTTTCCTTTCTTCGATTGGATTGTCTTCGGCTTTGTCAGATATATGTATGCGGATAAAGGACATTCTCATTATGTACGATTGGTTTCGTCAATTGAGAAGACATGTCCACAAGCAATCAATGACCATATGTCTGTTGAGAAAGAATTAAATATAAAGAATATATATATATATTAGCCGACAGATATGATATAATCAACAAATATAGCTTTGAGGATAATACGTGTAAAATGACAGAGCAAATGTTGGTAATAAAAATGCGGCAAAAAAATGAATAGTAATAGCTAAGAACTAGTGAAATCTAAGACGGTAATGAAGATGCGGATGTCTAGAGGCACATAAAATAATCATGAACTATCTCTCTGTCTTATTCTCTTTCCTTCGTC